GAGAGAGAGAGAGAGAGAGAAGATAAACATCCAAACGTCAATATAGAGAATTCAAAACACTAGAAAAGGCATACATCTCAATAAGGAGCAAATTTTTAAACTTCATTCAATTGTTTTACGATGGTACTTATCTATTTAATGCATTACATTGGAACTTAATTACATTTTAACCAAAACAGTTTCATCCATTCATTCATTCATTCATTTATTCATTCATTCATTCATTCATTCACTCATTCATTCATCCATCCATCCATCCATTCATCCATTCAACAATGGTGTCATAAAAAAACGTAAAAATTATTACCATTAGAAACATCAACGAACATTTAAATAATTTCAGTGATAGAATTTAAACAGAATACAACAACAGACTGAAACTAATAAGGACATCATTGACTTTATAACCAACTTAATGACTCATCTCAATATGAACCTGTCTAAACAAAATTAGCGCTATATAATTATTTTAAACTTAAATCTACATTTACTCAAAGACGACATAACGAATTGGTAAAAAAAATAAATAACAACAACAACAAAACAACAACCACAACAACAACAATAACATCAACAATAATTCACAATTCGTTTATTGATCAAACCAATAATAACTTAACAATAGTTGCAGTAGGTATAAATAACATCATGACGGCATCTTTTCCATTTCCAACAAAGTTAGATGACGAAGCGAATCTAACCGGAAGGATGACCACGTAAAGATAACAAAGATACGTAAAGTTGTCCACTTAACCGAGCAACATTATTGAGAACAAGAAAAATATTAATAAACAACAACATTATCATTAATATAATGAAAATTTTAATATATTTTAAATAGTATTAATATATTATTATTATTATTACTATTATTATTACCATTATCACAACGACCAACCGTCATTTTTATTCTTCTTTAGCAAGCTGATCCTAAACGGGTTGTCGGGCGTTTTTTTGGCGGGAAGAGGAACCAGACGACTGATAGTCTAGTTATGATGATGATGATGAAGAAGAAGAAGATGATGATGATGAAAAAGAAGATGATGATGATGAAAATGACGATGATGACGACGACGATGATGTTTTTGGTTATTAATGGCGTTACGATAAATACAATACTTTAATATTTTTGTGTAGAGGCCATTTTTTTTTGCGGGAGTCATTTTTTTGTTGACGTCTGTCCCATTTCTAATCAAGCTCTGATATTGCATCAAATAACATCACAAGACATTGGGTTTCATTACATCAGATCACATTACATTCACACATCCCATTACAATACATTTTTGCATACGTCACATTACATTAGGTAATGTTACACTTTATCACCTACCAGGTTTACAGAGGCTCCTGCTTGCATCAAGAGAGATTGAGCTCTAGTTCCGTCCATTTCACCCGCTGGCGTGCTGTTTATTCTCACTAATCCGTCACCTACCCTGAATATGATGATGACGATGACGATGATGATGATGGCGATGATGATGATGACGACGAGGATGATGATGATGGTGATGGCAATGATGGCGATGATGATGATAATCATCGTAATCAGTATCCCTATTACAGTCACTATCCTCACCATCACTAACATAATCTTTCCATCAGCTGGACCATTTTTTTCCACGTGGGAGATGACAAGATGATGAGAAGAAGGGGATGTAGAGAGATGTGGAGAGAAATCAGAGAGAGTAGGATTATTTGGATGGAGATGATGATAAGCTAGAAGAGAGGGTGTCTGGTCTTTTTTTATCCTCAATCCAAACATTCCATCTGAATTATACTGGATTGAGTTTGATGATGAGGAGGATGATGAGGATGGTGATGATGATGATAAGGAGGAGGAGGAGGATGGTGATGGTAATGATGATAATGATGATGATGATAGTGGTGATGATGAGGATGGTGATGATGAGGATGGTAACGATGAGGATGAAGATGATGACGATGATAATGGTGACTTTAAATAATGTCAGTAATAATAATAAGTTAATAATAATAATAATTTTATTATTATTATTAGTTGAGTTTAAAATTCACAGAGCTTACCATTCGCACTGTCATCAATCATCCAATTCCCGTTTCATTTTCATCATTATCGTCATCATCGACATCATCATCATTAGAATTTTAATTTTATTTATCATCATCATCGTCGTCGTCGTCTTCAACATCATCCTCATCATTGCATCATACTTGATTAAGAATCACATTGAACAGCTCCAATGCATATTCCGGCTCTCCATTCTAAATATGTGTGTGCGCGTGTGTTTGTATGTGTGTGTGTGTGTTTGTGTGTGTGTGTGTCATTGTATGTGTGTATATGTGTATGTGTGTGTTTGTGTATTGTTGACTCATATGAGCAGTATAATTATTAATATAATTGATTGTTTAATTAATTGCATAATTAGTTATGTATTCCATGAGACATGCTGTTTATATGCTGTTTATGGTAATATGGAGACTAGTTTACTTTGGGGCTTAATTATTATGTCTGTTTGTGTATTTCTATGTGTGTGTTCGAATGTGTGTGTGTTTGTGTGTGTTTGTATCTCTGTGAGTTTTTATAACTGTGAATGAGGATATGCGAGCTCTTTCTTCAAGTCTGTTCAAGTCTATTGTCTGTACGTACATCCACTCATTTTGATGATCGTAAATACAAAAATTTTTGAAAATACCAAATCATTATTATCTTTAATAATTGTTTATTATTGTCGTTATTACCATTATAGCATATAGGCACTACTTACATTGCTGGCGTTGTTTTCGTCGCGGTCATCATCTCGGTCATCATGATCATCGTCATCAAGGGCATGTCCGTTCTCACTAACTGCACCCTTCATTATACTATTCCATCCGTTCAGAGATCTGTGGGCGGATTAATTATTAATAATAATAATTATTATTATTATCAGTAGTAGTAATAATAAATAATAATAATAACGATAATAATAATGATAATAATAGACTTGCCTATTTCCTTGAGAAATAAATACTTTTATAAATATCGAATTTCAACTTTTCAAGTTTTAAATTAAATTTAACAAATAATAAAAACAGTGTTTGCGTGTGTATGTGTGCGTGTGCATGTGTGCTTTCAATAATTTGTACATCAACATTTTAATCACATTTTTTTTATCATCATTTTATTTGTTATCGCTTTTGTTTCGGGATTGTTATTATACATCCTTAACTCTGTATCACATCCATTATCTTAATCACCATTGTCTTTGTCATCACATTACTGTTTTACTACTCTCAACATCGTTGTACCATTTTCATTATATGTAGTCATTGTGAACATGTTCATCTTCATCATCATCGCCTTCATCATCGCCCTCGCTACAACATCATTGTTAATATATCATCATCATCTTTTTCATCAATGCTACCACATTACCATCATGACCATCGTATGTTATCACATCATCGTCTTCACCAAAATTATCACCATCATCATAAATATAAAAAGAGCGTCCATCTCTTAACCTTTCTCTCTGCAAATTCTTGACCGTGACGAGAGCATCATCCCTTTGCTTCCTCATCTCCCGAAACTCCATCAATGCCATGTCCAGCTTGCCCTGGATGTCAAGGTTCATTCTTTGTAGGGAGTTTGATGGGTAGCCGGTGTAGTTGTCGTCCACGCTGTTCTTGTTGTTGCTGTGGTTTTTAATTATGTGGTTGTTGTTGTTGTTGATGTTGTTGTTTATGGTGTCAGATGCAATTTTGATGGCATTCGAAATATCTTTACTATACACTGAAGCATTTTTATCAGCGTGGTTGTTGTCAATGTGGTTGTTGTTGTCGTTGTTTTTAATATTATTCTTCTCGGAATGATTATTAGCATTGTTGCTGTCAATGATGCTATTGGTATTGTTGTTGGTATTGTTTTTATTGTTAACGTTGTTGTTGTTGTATTTGTTGTTGTTATTCATATTAGATTTAGTGTTGATGATGCTGTTGATAAGGGAAGACATCGTTTGGTGTTAGTTGTGATGACCAATAACATGAGCTAGTGTTGTTGATATGGTATATTTCTTTTTTCTGTCAATTTGTTTGCACTTTCTGTTGAAATATGACTATGTTGCAGAAGTAAATGTTGTTAGGTAGGTAGGTATTGCTGTCGTTAAGTTGTTGTTGATATTGGCATTGTTAATGCAATGTTGTTGAAATTAACGAGATGTTGTTGATGCGACTTTTTTAATGTATTTGGTTAGGTATTAAATTATTCGGTTTCGTTGGCAGCAACTGCCAATGTATTCCGATGAACTTATTGAAGTTTGTATATGTGGCGAAAGATTTGTATGTAGTTGTAGTTACTTTGGCTGTAGTATGCTGCGACAATTAAAAAGTAGAATGTATATTGAAAAGTTATTAAAATTTAATGAATTTACCGGTTTATAAAGTAAAGTATGTTCTAATCAACGCATATTTAGATATATGACTAAAAGAAAAAGCTTGAAAAGTTGAAAGCAATTTTCTTTGACGGAGTTTATTTAAAATTAACAAAACGTTTCTTTAAACAAACAGTAAGAATGATGGAATCCAAGCAACATTTTTTATACAAATATTAAGTTAGTTAATTTTACAATAATAATTTAAATTATTCTTTTAATCATCAGTTGCTAAAAAAGCAGAGCATCTGCCACATCATCATGCACATACACATACACAAACACAAAACGGCATGTACTTCTACTAACTTGTGTGACAATTATTTTCTGAACAATGAAGATTACAGAGTTCGATTCTTACTAAACGAATAAAACCGCTAATGCTCACTTTACATTTAATAATATATATATATATATATATATATATATATATATATATATTACACTAATAACACATAACACATATATACTTATATAGACTTATACGTATATAAGTTGCATATTTACATTGTATTTATATATAAATATATAAACATACTAAATAGCACGCATATAAACATTTAGCATTACGGCTGGTTAGCAATAACAATAGCGCAAGTATATCACACAGTAATGAAATATCATCTGCATGTTTGTGTCTGTGTAAAATCTGGAATCATAAACACCGTACGCACTCAATCAGTAACTCGAACTTATTTGACAAGGATTAGGTACTTGAGAAGACAAAGAGCTCTGGCTTAGTTTTAGCATGCGTATTTCAATAAATCGAATACCCATGATAACTATGTAGGCCCTCCTCGTTCAATTCATCCTCGACAATCAACTAAAAAACTTTATAACCTTTTCATTCTTTTCACGCAAGACCGGAAACATAGGAAAGCTTAAAACTTTGAACATACGGCTTTCCACCAAACAAACGATGGATCAAAATATATAAACTCTAAATGACAAATGATCAAGGAACTGTGATGTCGTTTTAAGACAAACGGACACAGATTTCGATTCAACACAAACCTACCAGGTTTTTCGATACGTAGAATCAATCCAAAATGGGTACGAATATTATACCGCGTCCCCAGTTACGTACGTAATGACTTTTTGTCATCAGCATCAGTGGTATCTAAAATCAGGCTATATATATCACATCCTTATGGAATGTTTTAGCACTATTCATCAAAACACTATCTCATTGTCAAAGATTATAGGTCATTAAAACCATCACGGGTATAAAGATCTTACAGGATTATAAAACAACATTACACACTAACGATCAATTAAGAAGTTTAGAATAAAGACGTTCACAATGAAAGCAGTTTTGTTGTTTTACTATTTTAATAAAATACTCTTGCTAATACAAATTTAATTTGTAAATGTATCAATTATGTTTGTATTTAAGTGTTGTCTTTTGTATCTTCTTTCTTCGCTGATGGAAATGTTTCCAAACTTTCTTTATCTGAATTTTCCAATTTCTTCAACTTTGTTTCAGTATCTAATAAGAAATATCATGGTAGCAAATCAATAACTTCGATGAAGGATGAATTTTTTAACGGAAATGTTTTACTTAACGGTTAAGTTTTTAATATCTGACGATCAACTTTTGCCAGAGCCAGATATTTCAAAATTTTTAATATAAAAGAACATCGAAATAAAATAATAAAAACTAATAAAAATAAAATGGAAGAAATATGATAAACCAGCTTCCTTGCAATCCAACTCGGAAAGGTTATGAACGAGAACGACGGACGATAGATTGGCGGCCACCTGGGGATCGTCCAATAAATTGGCCACGGCGTTTCGTCGGCGATAAATACGTTCACTACTTTTGGCTGGTTCGCTAGTAGCAGTAGTGTTATCGGGTAGGGCTTTTTTCGAGTACGGCTGCCGATTTAAGAAAATATAAAACTGAATAAAGAAACAACAACTTCACGAATTTAATTAAACTTACTTTATTCAGAAAGCGTTTGTTCGTTTTTTTATCTTTTGGCATTTTACATCACTCGCACAAAATAAATTTATTTTATATTGTACAGCTGTTTACATAGAACATAATAAACATAAACACCAAATTTAGAACAAGAAAAATATTTTGAAACTGGTGAGCTTATCAACCAGCCAAAGCCCAAATGATCAATAAAACATAAATTACAGCGTAAATACATTTCAATGCTAAATTGATTAAGTTAATTATCAACTTAGTTGATGTTTTAGTATGTTTTCTGCTTTTTTTCAGTTACTCTATATGCTAAAAGTTGTACTACGTACGTCTTAAAGTTTATTATACAATCCAAATCAAACGCTTTTTGTATTCCACGCAATCACTGTTCAAGTTCATATAGAATGCACAACATAACACGAGAAACACGTTCAGAGGCGTGTAAAGAGAACAGCTGAATAATAGATCGAAATGCACTACTACCTATATTAAATCACCAGGTGGGCAATGAAATGAATTATAATGGCTTCTTAATTTGATGGGTTTCTTACAAGAGACTTCTACTAACAATTTGTGCTAAATTATTCTTAATAACTACATTCTTATAAGTCAAGTAATGAATTAAACTATCTGTACTGCACTTCAACAAAGTATCAATTTATATTTAGTTATTTACTCACTAAATTTTATATGAATATGAAACAAATAATAAATCAGTTTTAATTAAAAAAACATAATGTGCAATGTTGTGTGGGTTAGTGGGTTATTTATCATTTACATTATTTTATTATGAAGTATTTTGTTTGTCACCTTGTTGCACATATCTACAATTAATCAATCGCGTACTGACGAATAATTATAAAATGTATTTGAACAAAAAAATTTTAAATAGATTTCATTAAACGAGATCAACGAAAAATAATGTTGAACGACATTATCTTGGAATTGTGTTTATTTCTCTGATCGTCGTACTAATACACTTGCAGATTTTGTCGTGCTGTTTCAGGGGAAGTTGTCGACTTTGTTGTTCTGGCGTACCAGCTTGCACCACATCATTATCCGCCAGGATCACCTATCTAGTGTACTTAGTCATTGGAATCATTGTAACATGCATTTTTATGGCTCCAGCTGTTACCGAATCACTTAGCAAGGTTTGAGTATATATTACTTGCTATTGAACTTATTATAAAAGTATTAAACCATGTTTAATTGCGCCAAAAAATCAAAACTGACTTATTACGCTATCTCATAATATATATTTCCTCTTATATGGAGCCGCAATAGTTAAAATACTAATTGTATGAAATCATTTACAAGTGATATTTACAGGTTTTCACAAAATTTTAATAACACAGCTGTTGCCTGGTATTCTAGTAATGTTTAACCAATTCAATCTTTCATGTTTTTTTTCCTATTTACACAGTTTGAATCATTCTGCAAGTCAGCATCTTTGTACATTCCAACTCAGCCAGTGAGCAAATGCAATGATATAACAGCTGGTGTGAAGAATGTTGTTGGATTCCCAGCTGTTTACAGGATGTGCTTTGGCATGTCACTCTTCTTCTTTGGCTTCGTGATACTCATGATAAAGGTAAAATCATCAAATGATTACAGGGCTTACATTCAGAACGGGTTAGAGACATATTCACTCGCCATGTTCATTTACAATTTTTTATTTAATTTCATGTTACTAAATATTTCTTCTTATTTAAAATTTTCTTTAAGGTTTTCTGCAAAAATCTTTTTTCAAAAATAACAATAGTAAGGTGATATGATTTTATTTATTCAACAATGTTTTCGCTTTTTTAATTTTTAAAAGGTTCTGGTTTTTTAAATTCATCATCTTAGTTGGATTAATAGTTGGATCCTTCTTCATCCATGCTCCCAATTTTGAATTTGGCTTTATGATAATTGGAGCCATTGGATCCTTCTTATTTTACATCATACAAATGGTCTTGATTGTTGATTTTGCTTACGGATGGACAATAAATTGGGTGCAAAGATACGAAAACACCGACCAAAAATTTTGGTTCTATGGAATCATAGCATTTTCATTTTTATTTTACTTCATGTTTATAGGCGTTTGTGTCGTGCTGTTTATCTTTTATGCGGCAGGAGATTGTGACCTCCATAAATTCTTCATCTCATTCAACTTGATTCTCTGTGTGATTGTGTCCGTTATATCTGTGTTACCAAAAGTTAAAAAATGTTAGTTTATTTTAATGAAAATCATTTTTAATATTCATCATTTCATATTTCTGTGAATACTTTTTAAATTGTTCTTTGCTTGATTTTTCTGGCTGACATGCTGCACAGACATCAATTTCTATGATACTGATCTCTATTATGTTTCGAGCATCGCCATACAAGCGGTGCTTCAATGAAATTTTTCCATTCACTATGATTTCATGAAGTTTTTTTCTATATAATTTGTAATTCGCAACTTATTTAGACAATCCTCACTCTGGCCTCCTTCAGTCATCAGTTGTCAGTTTGTACACAATGTACATCACCTGGACATCAATGGCCAGTTGTAAGTTCATTTTAGACTTGGGTGACATGTTAATTTAACGTAATTTAACTTCCTGCTTCACCGTTTGTACGTTTATTCATCATAATTTAATTTTGTTAGGCTTGCATGCTCTTTATACTACTTTTATTTTTAACGCTTTGATATTATTCATTGCCTTTTGACCGGAGTTTTGACACGGAATACTGCTACCACTAATAATTTTGTATCCATATCTATTTGAGCAGATGCTTGAGTGAAAGAATTCTGTGCGATGTGTAATGATTCTTAAGTTTTTTCATGAACTCCATTTCTTTTGTCATTAGTGATGATCATTAGAAGATTGATATAATTTATATCACATACCTTCTTCGCGTCATGAAATTATTAACATAATTTTGTTTCAATAAATAATCGTTATTAATAACCAAAATAAATCATAAAATTAATAATTATTGGCGACATCAGCTCCAACGTGCAACCCCCTAAGCAAGTGCTTACAAATGCCAGATGGATCAAATTCAACTACTGTTAATTTGGAGACATGTACATTTGAAACTTTTAGTTATGATGTCATTGTCCCACTCGTCATTTTACTCTTTTGCATTCTATATGCAGGGTTTGTCAGTTGTAATGATCAATTCATTGCCAAAAGATTATTTATCAGTAATTTTTAAATTCTTTATCATGTGTAGGTTGATCTCAATCAATCATTATTATTAAATACAATAACAGCAATAACTCATCATCAGTTTCAACTTGTTGCTCATATGAGACATGCATGAGTTGAAAGTAAAAACATATAATTAAAAAATCCAATTCAGAATATCAGATGCAAGCAGTGATGCCATAGACACGGTTAGAGGCATATCAACAAGAGCTGATGCAGTTGTTTCAGGTTCAAAATCATTCATGTCGTTTTTTTATTGATTTAATTCAAAAGTTACATCATATTTTCACAAAAATATTATCATTTTGAAAGATTCTGAGCAGACGAAAGATTCAGAGAAGGGAGGTCAGAAGGTGGTTGATGACGAGAAGGAAGGATGCAAATATAATTACAGCTTTTTCCATTTCATGTTCCTACTTTCTGTCCTCTTCCTCATGATGACTCTCACACATTGGTTCACGTGAGTCTTTGTAAACATTTCAATACTATTTAGAAAAAAGGTGAGAATGGTGTCATGCATAATATTTTTCAACCTGTGACTGCAATTTTACAACTATTTTATCTTTCAAAAAGTTAAGGAGGGTGATTAATCAGAATTTTTTTTAAACATTTTAAAGTCTTAAATTATTAAATTATTTTATAAATAATTATTTTATAGTTATTAATGCAACTCAATCCATTCTTAATGCATCCTGTTTATTCAAAACTCATTTCACTTAATTTTTCAAGGCCTAATGCTCCAAGCATGCACACAGTACCTGCAGTCTGGGTGAAAATAGCTAGCAGCTGGATGAACCTGCTAATTTATTTATGGATTCTTTTAGCACCTATAATTTTAAGAAACAGAGAATTTACATGAATAGAGATCATATAATATTAAACGTGTCAATATTTTTTAGCATTGTTTTTAGATTTTATTCAATTTCTTAACTTTATTCTATTTTACATAACTTAAAACGGTAAAAAACAAATTTGATATAATTTGAAAAAAGAAAAAATTATAAAAAACGACTAAAAAAATTAATTAATTATCCTTTATTGTGCATGTTACCCCATCCCCTTCTATGATCATCCCTGTACTCATCCCATCTTCTCGCTCTACTCAATGCTTCCTCATCATCTTCATTTTTATCCTTTTGTGTGGCTTCTTTTTCCCTAAAAAGAGCAAAAAAACAAATGTGAACAACATTTATATATTCTGGCTGAATTAATTTTGTTTACAATCTGGGGAATGTTTGAGAAATATTTCAAAAATGATATTTCATCCAAAGTAAAAATTCACTATTACCTGGCTGACAGATTTTACTCCTGCCCAAAAATAGGACAATGTTAACTTGCAAAAGAGGTTGACTACATAGTTAATAGTTAATGCATTGCTACGATGAAAAGAATTTGATATTTATGATTTGCCTGTCAATCTAAATTAATTTACACAAAATGAGAATATAACCTAAACTTAAATGCTAAGACAGGTGAATTACATAAATTTCAAAAAAGTGACAAAAAGATAGCAAACAAATAACAAAGCATATGGGTGTACATACAGTAAAGAGATGAGATGACCTGAGATAACTGAGCTTTAGTTTATTGACTTAATCTTTGCAACACACAATCTAAAAACTTTTTTGGATGAGAGCACATTTTAGAATAATCATAAAATGTTGACAGCACAATTAGGTTTAAGCAGAAAAAGACTTGAAATTAAGTCACATGGCAATTTGAAAGTAAATTTATGTGAACACCTTTTCAGTTCTTCAGCTTCTTCATCAGGTTTAACTTTTTTGGCTGTGGCAGCAGCATTGGGGAACAAACCTTCCTGAACTCTTTGATCATAAAATTCATCCACCGAAACAGTGGGAATACTGGGGTAGCCTAAACCAAATACTTGCTTTTGAAAGTTATCTTTTGTGATGATGAAAGGTTGAAATTTTTGTTTTGAATGTTTGTGACAATCATGACCATCACATGGTTCTCTTGATGGTTCTGATTTGTTTAAAGAGGTAGATTTTAATTTTTTCATGTGTTCTAAAAGTGGCATCTCATTGTCTATGCTTTCTATGGTATCTATTGCTATATATATCCATCTATTAATCAATTTGAGATAATACTCTCGTTTAGTTTCATCATCCACATGTTCCTTTTTGACTTCTTCATGAAGTTCTTCTAAATCAGTTTCCATCTTTTTCACCAATTTATATCTATTAATCTTCTCTTTCCTTCTGGCAGAATCATCTTTTATATGGTCAACTGCTGTAGGATTTTTATTCAGTTTTTTTGAACCAACATCACCGCCATCTAAGCTACTTTCTATATCTATTTTGTAATTTGTCAGACCATACAATTTGCACAATTTTAAAAAATTTATGAAACACTCTCTGCTTTTGCGAATCACATCGATGCGTTCCTCGGTGGTTACTTTGTCGTTGAAGTAGCCTGAAAATGCAGGTAGCAGCAAATATTTCAATTCCTCCGTTGTCACTTCATCAATGTTCTCATTGTCACTGAAGACGGATAACTCGTTTATCATCTGGATCCCATTATGACATAACTCTATAGATTTGGTAACTTTTGTTTGAACCTCATCCGACGAAACAGGTGCAGTCGATTTTTCCAAATCTTCTCTAAATTCAATGAGCTTTTCAAATAGAGCGCTTAATGTCATCCCGTCGCCTCCAACGTTAGACATTTTAAAATATAGAATGAAAACATAACATAATATCGCTACCAAAACACAATAGTTTTATCAATTTTAGTTTTCTATCAATCTAAATGTGCTATAGAAAAAACTTTATTTGAATAATTTATTAATTTAAAAAATTATTTTATAAAATTTTTTTGTCAAATTATAAAAATTGATTTGAGTAGTCAATAGATCACTCTTTTTCTTATGGACTTTTTCTTTAAAACAATGGCCACAATAACAGATAATAATGGTGATCGGAAAATATATTACGGACAAGATCAGCAATACAACAATCAGAATATTTCAACTTTCAGACAAAGTAAAGGTTGTATCAAATTTTTATTCTATTTTTCAACTAACTCTATTTATGACTACTTTTGACTGCGCAGTAGATTCTTCATTAACATTGAAATTGAGATTGAAATTTTTAAATTAATTATTATTAATATTGGTAATAATTTTTTTGTTTCAAATCTTGAAATTTAGCTATTGCAGCAGAATTAAAAGCCATGCAGAATAGTCAAAATTCTTCAGATGATTACGACAATGTACCTAACAACAACAATAGAACCTCCCAGCCCCAGCAAATGTGCCTCACTTCTAACCCAAACGACCAATCACAAACTGACAGCAGCCAAGATAAACAAATTGACCCCAACAATCTTGTCTTCATCAACGATATTAATTCAGACATGTCCAGAAATTCAAGTAAAAGTAAACGTTTCAGTTGGAGAAGATCCAGTAAAAGCTCTTTGAAACAGAATTCAAGTGATTATTTTATTTATTATATTACAAATTACATTATGACTAATAGTTTGACTACTACAGTCTTACTTATTTTTCTTCCTATTCTACATTTAAAAATATTTGAAATAACCAATTTTTTTATCTTTTTGATGTGATAAGTTTATTTTATATGTATCTTTTTTTATATTTAGTTTAGTTTTAGTTCTACACCATTATTATTATTTCCTTTTGAAATTTATTTTTATTTTGTTGTCAAAGTTTACAGTAAGCATTTATTTTATGGTTTTATATAATCATAGTCTTTAAATTCATGGATGTCTCAGAAGTTGAAAACAGCTCTGAACTGATGATTTATAATGATATAGTTTATTTTATAAGCTTATGCATAATTAATCAACAGGAACAATTGTTTAAAATGAATGTTTAACCAAGATTCAAGCTGATTTTATAATTGAAATGATGATTCTTTAATTCTTTAAAACATTTAAAACACTTAATTGTGATAAATTATTTTACAAGTTATTGAAATCATGACTTGTTTTTAAAAACTTTCAGATTCTAATGGTAACAACACGAGGTATGAAGAAAAGATTCCAGCATTAAATGATTCAGATGATGAGAGCTTTGCCCCATTAGGTGCTTCACTTGCTATTTTCATTTCATTGACTTTATTAGTTTAATTTATTTTTCAATTTATTTGCCTTATCTTTTTGTTAGTATTAGCATTTCACTTCTTAAACAAGATATTTATTTAAACAAATTTTAGTGTTTTTCCTCTTGTATTTTTCATTATGTTTTGCCTCTCAGTTTAGTAATATTTTAACTAACTAATGGCAACAACAGCTCGTTCATCTTCATACTGGGCTTGCTGTGGTGGACCAAAGTCAAAGAAGTCATCAAAATTAAAGAAAAACTCCAAAAAGAAAGGTGATCAAAGCCTTCCAGATGGATTTACTTGTAACGGAAACAACAGAACAATAATTCCACCCCCACAACCTCCATTCAAAAACAACATTTTCCAACCAACTGTCACAGAGATAGATGATGACGACGACGACGACGATGATAAAAAGATGATTAATAATGCTGGTATTGTTGTGGCTAGCCCACCCTACTCAGCTAACCAACAGAATAACAACAGCAACAACAAATTTTTCAATAATCGTGAGTCAAATCTTTTTTTATTCTTCGGTAATCAAATTCCGGAAAACTCAGTATACAATAGCCTGGGAAATAACCTTGAATAAATTAGAATCATTATTATAAAAGACATATAAGCAATGTTAAAGAATAATTTTCTAAATTTCAGCTAAGTACTGTGGGAATATTAATTAAAAAAAAGAATAACTTTAATGTCAAAAATTAAATTTGGGATGAAGTAGTTAAAAAAAATGTGCTGTTTTCAAAGTTTTTAATTTCTTCTATTTTAACAATCGCTCGCTTGTTGTTTCAAGCTTTTTTATTTCAGATTTAATTATTAGTTTGTTATTTATGACAACACATCTCTGCGCACCAAACATATCAACGCATCGCACTTATTTTTCACACACCACACATATTTTTCACACACTACACATATTTTTCACACACCACGCATCTTCTCCACAAATTCCCTCCAACAGAAAAACCCGAACTCTCTCCACCACCAACATCAACGACAAAAATGAACGTACCTGCTAACTCTCCACACATCCCTGTTGACAATTCTGATCAGAAGAAGGTTCTTGTCATGTTGCCATTTCCTCAACACCAACAACAACAACAGCAACAACAACAACGTGATAGGTTGAACAGCAATCAACAGCAACCACAACAGCAGAATGTTTTATCACCATCTTTAGGTACATTAAATAGTTTTCAATGTTTTGCTAATTTTAATTCTTCCTTAGGTGAGGCTTTTTGTGAAAAATTTCTCCCACTTTCTTTAGATGTCATTGAATTTGTGTCTTTGCTTAATTTCGTTGATCATGCTTTTTATCGGTGTGATGGTAATAACATCATGTCATTGTAATTCATTTATATTTTAATAAACCTGGTGGAATGTTTTCATTTATTCAACAGACACAACTGGTGCATCGGTCATGGGTGGGTCACTGAGGAAGCCTGCAACATGTGGAATTGCTCCACCGCTCATACAGAAAGATTACTCACTTCCTCCATTTGGTGTGCAAGCAAACGATCGCTTCTTACCTCAAGTTCCGATGGGGGGAAGTGGTCTGGGGATGTACCAGCCAACATTCAGGGACAGTATCAACACTCCCTCCTTTATTCCATCTCCTGAAGTCTACCCAAACTCGTTGTCACCTAAATTAGCTCAATACAAAGAAGTGCCTGCCAGCGAACCCGATTTGTCAAAGAAACCAACCAAAAGTGCTCTCAAAGGTCTTTTTCAGCCTATTTAAAATAATTTTAGTCTCTATATATAATAACCTGTAAAGATTCAATTCTAATTATTTGTTACATTCATATTACTAAAAACATGAGAAATTATCAAAAATGCAATGAACATCTATGACTGTGCGTGAAAGAAGAATTATGAAATTAAACTGAAAGGATCGAAATAATTTAGGGGGTAAGATGCACCAGATGGAGAACAACCGACTGCCAAAGTTATCAGAAGGGTCCAACTCACCATCGATCGACCACCGTGGCTCCAATCTATCTAGCAGGGATGATAACACAGGTTGGTCTGTTCGTGATGCTGGTTTATCTGATGACGATGTGATAATGGTGATGATCAATTTGATGATTATGGTGATTAATTTGAGAATTATGATGATTAATTTCAAGAGAATAATGATTAATTAGATGATTACGAAGAGAAAGACTTAGAGGAATAGGATGATAATAAATGAAAAAAAGCAGTTTAAAAAAGAGGTTGCTTAGGAATGTGTGATGATGATGATGATGTGGGTTTTAATAACAATGATGTCATCACAGAGTAAACTGATTGAAAAGAACTGCAGTGACACTGGTCATAAAATCAGGATGTTGTGTAATATTAAATACTGTGAGCTTTTTGAGATGTACGTATACATGTGTGGGTGTATAATTAGGTAACGACTTAATGGCTTTTAAACCATTCTATGTTTATTTTAGTCATTTAATTTCTTTTTTAAATAACAACCTAAAATAAGGTCGAACAGGTGGCTCTCTAAGGTCTTCTCAGAATGCACCACAGCCAGCCACCAGGATCAACAGTGCTGGCATCAGGTTTGCTGCCACTGACGAAAGAAATACAACGCCGAATTGCTTTTTCGCCAACAAACCGCAGAATGTTTTCGTGCCCAAGTTAGTAATTAGTTGGAACATCATTGATTGTTTGTCTGTCTGTCTGTCTGTCTGTCTGTTTGTTTGTTTGTTTGTTTGTTTGTTGGATGGTTGGCTATCTGGCTGATTGGCTAGCTAACTGGTTAGTTGATTGGCCAGTCAGTCGGTCGCTTCTATATACTAATGAATGTTTTGGTGTCATGTCTAATTTTTCTCTACTTCATTGTAATTCTGATTTGTAATTTTCAACATGAACCAGTCACGTTTAATTCATTGTCCTGCTATTATACAGCAGGCATTTCGCCGGCATGACAATAAGTGAAGAGTCTAATCCAGGTGGAAACGACGATGACGGTGCTGATAATGATTACGATAACGTGTACAGAAATAATAGAGCCGATGATGATGACGACGACGATGATGGGGGCGTGATGCAAAGTGAGAGGATATTTTATTCCCATCTCTTCTTATTTTATTTGCATTTTGCATTTTTTCGTTGCAATGGCTACTACTAATGCTTACCAAAAATTTTGGGTGGATGGTTGCAAATTTTTATAATTTTTTTTCAATCTGTTGTGGCGTGTTTGTTGCATTACAACTGTTCTGATATTTTGGAACCATGATAAAGTTAAAGGGCTCTACATACGATCTGGGTTGTCATTCAGGCAATAACTCGGCCGGTGTTATTAATTCTGAATTTTCTGAAATAGGGTCTGAACTGTGTTGGCAAGTTGGAGCGCGTGCGTGCATGCACAGTCAAACTTAACTGTTTCAAAAGAATTTTGTAAATGCACGTTCATGCAAACCGGGCGCGTGTAGGGTTTCAATTGTTTCAATAACCAACTAATGTTGAACATCAAAGGAGGATTGGGTGCCAAAGTGATGCGCAACGACAGCCTTGCAAAACTTTTGAGCCAGCGAACCGACCGACACAGGTCCAACCTACCTTACGATTGCAACGTCATACCACAGCGAACCCCACAAGAAAGACACGAACTCAGGCAGAGAATCGGCTCTCAATTAAATAGGTCGGTATTTTCATTCAACATATCTTTTGTTAAACTATATTCATATTAAATTTTATTATTTTCTAGTAGATTCATTAATTTACAATTACTTGAAATATTTCTTTGTTACTTGTGCAGACGTCTGAGTCAGAGACCAACAGCACAAGAGCTGGAAGAGAAACATATCCTTTTAAGTGAGGACATCTTTCTTTACATTGCTTTCTTATTTCACTCTTATTCTTACTAAACCAGCCCTCTATCAGTTTTTTTAATTTCTGCAGCTAGAATTTTATAATTTGATTTAATCCTGTAAATTTGTATAATTTCGAATCTAATCAGGGCAAACTCCAGAGGAAATACAAAAAGATCGTGAAGAGATTAAGAAAACTTTGATAAGGAAGGTCAGTTGAGTTTTTTGTCAGTACATTTCTTATTGAGGCTACACGAGTTCGAATTTTTTGTAGTTATATAATTATTTTCGCTATTCTCTGACAACCGTGGTTATCTTCCTTCATTTTCATTTATCTAACACATTGTTTATAATTGTTAATGTAACAACTCATGACAAGACGTTGATAACACTGACTAATATACTTAGAAGAAACCGCAATAAATTTTCGGATTTCTTCACAAAAATTTGACTCAATGTTAATTCATCCATTTCATGGAATTTGATCCCCATACAACCTTGTATTATACAATACCATATAATACTCTGCAGTCAATCTCGTGTTTCTCAAAACTAAATTATGATGACTGTTTGCCACGCTTTTTTTCAGTTGAGTTTCCGTCCGACGGTTGGCGAGTTGAAGGAGCGTCGAATTATAAAGTTCAACGACTACGTTGAGGTGACTGATGTCGAGGAATACGACAGGAGGGCAGACAAGCCCTGGACCAGACTCACACCTCGTGATAAGGTTGGCTTTTCTTCTGTTTGTGGTTTGTTCTCTTGTTTTAATTTATGGTTCTTTCATTTTGTATAGTGGGGTTTGTCGTTTGTTGTTAATTGTTCTCGTTTATTACAGTTTCTTGTTCGTTGTAATCTGTACTGTTGGCAGTAATTCTATATTACTTACGCTGAGTGCGAATGAAGCGTTAATAAATAATTTCATACACGCTGTCAGGATTTTAGTTAATGTTCAATGAGTCATGTTTAGATGTGAGAAAAACAAAAAGTTCTGCCTTAATAACTTAACTGCTAATGCTTATTTTCAAACAGATTTTTTTGTTGGCCTTATAATTGTTATCGTTGGTGTTGTTATTATTGTTGTTTGGTCTTTAAGATGTAAATGTTATAAATGTTTGCAGGCTGCAATACGTAAGGAACTGAATGACTACAAAAGTCAGGAGATGGAAGTGCATGAGATGAGTAGGCAGTTTACAAGGTATGGCTCTGATGACGATGATGATGATGGTGATGATGATAATGTAGATAATGATGGTGATGATGATGAGAATAATGATGGTGACGAATGTGACAAGATTCGTGTAATAAATATAACGAAACAAAGTGTGTGTCAAAATTTCAATTTGCATCTAAGATGCATTCCTTTCCAGGCAGAACTCATTTAATAATCGTTTTAATCCAGGTTTCATCAACCTTAGAGAATTTATGGAAACTATCCACTCTCCCCACTCAACTGTATCAATATCATCATCTTCGTCATCATCGTCGTCAGTGGTGTTGTCATAATCTTTGTCGTCGTCATCATCTTCATCATGATCGTCGTCTTCATCATCATTATTGAATCAACCTTCATCATCTTATTGATGTCTTTTTTTTAATTAAACCTCTGATCATTGCAGTCAGTGCTTTTTTTAATGTCATTTATTTTATTTATTTGCTTATGAGGTTTTGTTTCAATAATAAAAATAATAGTTATTATTTTTTATGGCGATATTGTTAACAATTTTCTATCATCATGAAAAATGCTCACAAAACGTTTACTCTTAAATAAATTAATTAATTAATCAAATTAATTAATTAAATTTTACAAAGTAGAGCTGTGTAGGCTAGATATGAGTTTTAAGAATAGTAATAATAATATCGTAATAATATTAGTAATAACAATAATAATAGTAACGATAATAATGTAGTAGTGATGATAATGAGAATGATGATACACACATACATATGTGCGTACATACACACGTACATTATATATGTGTATGTGTGTGTGCGCGCGCGCGTGTGTGCGTGTGTATACTATAGTGTGTAACGTAACAGGTATGTGATGATTTTAATTAGCTAATCTTCTTATAGTTATTCAATGTTATAATTATTATCGTCTATATGTAATTCGATCGGCTAATTGGTGGTGTGTTTATTAATATGCGTTTTCTGTTGTTCTTCATCGGTGTTAATTGGATGATTAGTTTATTATTCTAATGTTCAATATATCTTGTAATGAATTTTCAGATTTAATGTTTTAATGTGCTTATTTAATGATTAATACATTTAATAGACTTATTATTACTACTTTAATTAGAATAGTATTGATAATAATTATTATTATTAGCTTTTAATTTGTCATACATGTGATTTTTACGTTAGTTAGGTGTTATCTATTATTAATATATGTATTTATGAATATTAATAATGATAATGATAATTACATTTGAATAATGTATTATGTTAATTAGAGTTGAATAATAAATATATTATTACGTTAGTTTATTAATGAGCTAGCAGGGTAGGCTCTTTATAAATTGGTGTATGAAACGGTTTGTATTAGTTTTTGCTTTTATTGCATTTGTTTCTGTCCTTTACATTCATACATCTATGTATCTATGCATGTTGTATTTATGTTTTCATTTTCTTCAGTTCGTGGTTATTCAATCAACCAATGAACCTTCCAACCAACCAACCAACCATCTCTCATTTAAAGAATAATAATTTAGTCAATCAATCAACCTATCCGTCCATGAACAAATGCATTTTTTCATCAGTCAAGGCAATCATCGTCGTCGTCGTCATCAACTCTCTAATCATCACTATCATTATTATCTCCATTGAGCTCGCCTGTACACAAAGTTTCATGCGATGGTTGCGTATTTGCCTGTCTCAACATATGTAAATGTACTATATGCTGTGTAATGATATGTAATAAATAATTATATCTTTATGTAGATATATGTAAATTATACAACATACACACACACACACACACACACACACACACACATATATATATATATATAATTATTAATATCATCATTATTGCTTTCAATTTATCAAAAGCTTTTGTTTAGATTTTTTTTTTCAATTTTTTAATATTCAGTTTTTTTCTTTTTTAATATTATAATTATTTATAGCGTCTACGTTAATCATTTTCATGATAGGTTGAGATTATCTTGGATCGTTGGGTTCAAAAAAGAATTCCGTCTAAGAAAGTTTGCAGAAAAATGCATATGTATGATGTGTGTTTGTGCGTGTGCGTGCATGTGTATGAATCAATGATAATTTATCTTAATGTTTTCTATATAAAACGGTTTTAATGTATATTGTAAATAAAGATTTTATTAATCCTTTTAATGAATTTTTATTTAATATTTTAGCCAATATTTGTAGCAATTTTATTTAAACGTACGTTATACTAAGAAAAGAAAACCTTTACCTGTATATTTTAGCAATATTCCTCATAATTCCTGTTACTTAGTGATGAAATTTCGTAAAAAATGAACGTTTAAATATAATTTGCTTCATTCAAGTCAATCAAATCTGCTGTTGCACGATTAATGGGAGGCAATTGGTGTTAGCAATAATTTTTGTTCTATGTGGTGGTTAGTATGGAATGATGTGTGTGTCTGTGTGTGTGTCTGTATGTGTCTGTATATGTGTGTGTGTCTGTATATGTGTGTGTTTTTTAGTGTGTGGGAAAGAGGTGTGTGGCTGTCTAGTTGATAAATGAGCATACGTGCCTGTGTAAATGAATGATGATCGTAATTGTAGTGTCTTCATCCAAATTGCGATTATGATGACTACAGCTATAATCATTATAGTCGTAGCTATAATTATGTCAATAAATACTATTGTAATCTTTTCATATTAAAATTATTTTTGTTTAATATTAGAATTTGTTTTTTTTTCAACTGAAACAAATTGATAATTGATGACTGCTTGGTGAGCTTTAACTGTTAGCTAGTTTACTTTTATAGCTACTTCTTTATTATTCTTTCCATTCTAAAGATTTTGATATGACACGTGCAAACACTTACACACCCACTCTTACACACACACACATATATATATTTATATATATATAAGAATTCGAATGTTATGGAACTTTTTTATTAGTTTTTATATTCCACATTTTAAGAACTGAGACCAAAAGGGGTTGTCAAAAATGGCGTAAAGTTTTGTTCCAACAAATTTTTATTTAAAAATTATTTTTTATAAATATATAAGTTATTTCCCATCGAAATTATATGCATAAATCTATTGTCCACACGCACGCACATATATATATATATATATATATATATATATATATATATATATATATATATATATCTTATTTTTCTTTAAAATATGCGTGTATGCATGCCTTGCTAACTCCGGATTTTCGTTAGTCAATTAGGTTTTATTGAATTTACCCTAATTTCATTTTGTTTTATATATAAATTTTTTATTTTTATTTAGAAATTCTGAGATTTTTTGAAATATTGGGCTTTTAATGAGTTGAAAAACTTTTTTTTTTAATTGATTGACAGTGCTTGCTTTTGTGTTAGTAGTAGTACTAATTATAATCATTAAAAACGTATCTAACTGGTTTTATTTTTTTTCTTAATTAAGTTCATTAACGTCCATTTTATTTTCGTAATGACATTTCATAATCTATATTTTATTTCATCAATATAACTCGTTATTGCATTAATAATAGTGTTAATAATGTTTTTTTACATATATTATAACGTTGCCTTCTTCATTTTTAACGTTTAACAAACTGTCCAATCTAAGCAAAAAATTGAATGTTTATTTTTTAGACTATTTTAATGTATTATACTATACATATACTATATATATATATATACATATGTATATATATATATATATATATATATATATATATATTATTGTATGAATGCTACCGAATTGTTGGCATTATTCATTCTAAAGTTTGTCTTTTCAATTCTAGTAAGGAAAATTAAAAAGACAAACTTTAAATTGGTTAATGCCAACAACTTGGTAGAATTCAAACAATACTGTATAAAATATGGTCTCTTCTATATACATATATATATATATATATATATATATATATATATATATATATATATATATATATATATATATATATACATTTTCCATTTTTGATTCTGTAAATGCTATTCTTAAATATAGATATTGAACAATGTGTAGTGTATTGTGCTACAATTTTTTGTAAAGGAAATACATTATATAAAACAATTTTTTGTCAAAGTTTGTGCGTTGGTTTGAGAGGGGATTGTCAAAATTTTAAGATTCTAAGCACCTCTAGCCAAATTCTAAACAATTTTTTACGTGTTACATCTGTTTGCAAAATAGAGTCACCGAGTTATCTCAGTCGGTAGCAGTGTCATGTCTCGCGCGGCTATTACGCGATGGCCTGGCTCGAATACTGTCTGTCCGAAAGTCAAAGGCCATCATACGCGTATGATGCGGTGCTTGCACGTGCATACATAATGTTATACCCATATTCGAGTGGTGTGGATAGTACAGTCATTGTGGTACGATGGTCTAATTATGAGTATAGACAGAGTTGCGTTTGACATAGCTGCGTTTTAAAGAATAAAAGAAGATTCATTTATGTATCAACAGCCTTATCATGTAGTGTCATTTGTTGAATATCACCACATTTCAAATACTACAAAGTGTTAAAGATTGGGTTTTGTGGAGGTCGATGGTCGCCAATGTCCTAAAAGGATAAAGCACGAGAAAGAAAGAAAGAAAGAAAGAAAGAAAGATACAACAGCATTGTCGATTTAGAAATAAAGTGGTCGTTTATTTTTTTTATTTAACGACCGTTTTGGCATGAAACACTATCATCTATACGATTTTTTTCTTCCTTCTTGATTAAATTATCAAATGCAGCAAAATAGTTTGTAAAATATTACTTTACAATAATGTACGGTTTTGTACGTTGTAAAATTTATAAACGAATTCTACAATTTATAATATATTAATTACAGTTTACATACAATATTTAAAAGATTTATTTATAAAATGCTCTATTCTATTATATGCTCTATAGTAATAAAATTAATGTTTCTTTGTACTTGCATCTTTTGTTTATTGTAAACATTAAAAATGGCGAGTTTTTCGGAGTCGGGTCTGGTTAAAAAACTTGATGAATTGAATAATTCGCAACAAAGTATACAGACGTTATCGTTATGGCTTATTCACCACAGAAAGCATTCCAAATCCGTCGTTGACATTTGGGTAAAAGAATTGAAAAAAGCTAAAGGTTCCAAGAAGCTCACCTTGATCTACCTGGCCAATGATGTCATACAGAACAGTAAAAGAAAAGGTCCAGAGTACATTAGAGATTTCAAAGTTGTTCTGCCTGACTCGTGTAAAGAAGCTGTAAAAAGTTTAGATGATAAATCCAAATCATCGTTAGAAAGGGTGCTAAATATTTGGATGGAACGAAATATTTACGAAAAAGATTTTGTCGACCACATCAAAAAATACATGCATGGTAGTAAAGATGAAATTAAAACTGTCGACAAAAAACCTAAAGCAACTGAACAAAATTCGGCAAAAAATGTTGAACCGACAGCAAAACAATTGAATAAATCATCTTCAGACCCTGCTGTAAAAAAATCTGATCAACCGCCTAAGAAAAAAAAAAAAGTTGAATTGTCTCTGAGAGAAGAAATTGAGTTGGAAATGCAAGATGGGCCAAAAGAGCCACCAACATCTGATGAATTAATCAAAGCTCTGTCTAGTTTAGAGAACTGTGCATCAAACGATGCAGCCGTTCGTGAAAGAATTGCTGCCTTTCCTCCAGAAGTTTCTGATGCCAATCTACTTGAAAAATTATCTGACACCTCTGAAGCTGATGCTCTGATGAAAACTGTAGATGAAGCTTGTGCGATTCTTACTGAATATAACTCAAGATTAGCAGATGAAATGTCAGAAAGGAAAAGGATTGCCAAAATGTTGCACAACTTTATTATTTATCAAAAAGAAGCTTTGAATGACTCTGAAGCCAAGTTAACTGAATACAAGAGGCGATTAGAAAAAGTTGACACCATGCACAAAGAGCTGAAGTCACATGTTCAAAGTTTGCCAGATTTGACTCTTCTTCCTAAAATAACTGGCGGATTGGCTCCACTACCATCTGCAGGCGATTTATTCAGTTCTGATAAATAATAAATAGCAATAAAGTAACAGTAATGTAATGTAAATTGAATCGTTTCAACTGTGTTTTTTTTATATAATAAGCAGAATTAATTTTTTGTTTTGTGGACTCGTTATTATACCGGGTATTTCTCAGTGAATTTTTAGTATTTTGTAATTTTAAAGCTGTTTTAAAAAACTGGTCTCTGTAAAGTGTAAATAGAATAATGTTCCATATTTTAATTTTTGTAATCAAAATTTCCACAAAATCTATAGAAACATTAATTAAACAATAATTGGATCAAAGTGATGATTGAATTTTTCCAAGAACTGCTATTGCCTCAATCTCCACTCTTGCTCCCTGAAAATAAAATTAAAGAAAAATTAATGTTATCTCTGAACAGTATTTATTAGTCGAACAATTTTTTCAATTTTTTTTCATTGACTTTAAAATTAAATTTCAAATTTAAATTGGTTTTATGTATTGTCAATATGCCTTAAATTCTTACCTTTGGAAGAGCTTGGACAGCATAACATGATCTGGCGGGGGGATTGCTGGGAAAATCTGTTATATATATTCATGTGTAACATTTTTATTCAAAGTCTATGTAATATTTGTCATTGTAATGTGTAACACAAAATTTAAATGAACATGAAGCATAAATTAGGCTGTGAACACAATGCAGATAATAATTTTGATGTAAATTACTAACATTTCTCATATATTTTGTTGACTGTAGCAAAGTCATTTATGTCAGCAAGTAGTATGGTCGTTTTCACAACTATTAAAAAAATTATTTTGTTTGGTCGATATGTCAGTTTATGAAAAAAAAAATAGAAAATTACTTGAATAACAAATATAAAAAAATAATTGAAACTTCAATGAAAAATGTGAAGATTTCTTACTATTTTCATAATCAGCTCCTGCTGCCTTCAATACAGCGCCCATATTTTTCAAGACCTTTTTATTAAATTAAATAAATGAAAATAACATTATCAAATGTAGTAACAATAAATAGTTGCAAAACAAATTAAGACAAAGAGTCCACACTTGTTCTGTCTCATTCTCAATGCCGCCAGGAACAATGGCTGTGGTAACAGGGTCTAATCCTATTTGACCAGATAGGAACAAATGCTCATTTACAGCCACGGCCTGACTTTTGTTTAAAAATGTCAAGGCATGAAATAAATAAATCTAAATGAAGTGTTGTCTAATGAAGTTATGTGATTTTTTATTTATGTGTCACTGTCTGACTTTTTTATCATGGATATTATTAATTATATAATGAATATAAGGATGTCATTAAAAATGTAATAATAATGTGTGACATATGTAATGTATATATATATGGTATGATATTAATTAATTAATTAAACTATTAAAAGAAGGAGTTACCTGTAAGGACCAACTGCCTTTGGTGCTTCAGCGGAGAAAATAATTTTTTTCAAGATGTTTTTTGCCATGATCGACGTTTTTAATTTAAACACAACACAGCAAAATAACTTTTTACAATATCGAAACAGTGCGTTTACCGGTTTACATAAGCAAAAAACGAAGCAAGTTAGTTTTTAAATTGGCTGAACGAAACATACAGCAAATGATTATGAGTGGCTGTACAACTCAGTGTTGCGTTGACTAGCAATTATTATAGAATGTGACGTTACTCTATTACTATAATCATTTAGAAGTTGATCAAACTAAAGTCCTTTGAACTTTGCTTTGATACGAATACGATGTGCAGCTGCTGTACTAACCCGCCACAGAAAGTTTGTAGCGATGCAGTGTAATAAGTAAAAAAAAAAGAGAGAGAAAAAGTTACTAATGATCAACATCAAACATGTAGCTTCGAAACTGCAGTCTAAGTAAAAACAACAAATAAAGGCATTTGCCTCAATAGAAAAAGTAAATGCACTGAGCAATTTAAGATCAGTACAAGAGCATTTGTCAACCGAGTATTCACCCACTCATCATCAACCGAAAAACGTGAAGTGGAATTGAAAAAAATTGCGAATCATTTGGTAAACAATGGATACTGCACAGCAATGATTGAGGATATAATTAAAAAATAAATTACAACAACTTAACAGCTCACAACATAATAATCCAAACACAGACACTATCTTCTATTACAGGAGTCATATGAACACTAACTACAAAACTGATGTATCCGTCTTAAAACAAATCATTTATAAAAATGTCAAACCGACTTACCCTTCTGACAAAATAAAACTACAATTTATCACAATTTAGTGCAAAGGCACCACACCGTGTCATGAACAACAACTGCACTCCTCAACATGGTTCGGATTTAAAACGTAGCCATCTTATATATGAATTTGCATGTTCCCTTGACGGTTGAGCACGTTTCGTATATCGGAGTAACGACAACATCGCTAACTAGACGTCTGACCATGCACAAAATGGAAGGTTCTATAAAAACACACTTAGAAATTACAAGAGAAATCCTGGACAACAACATCAAAATAATATACTGTAATTCCAGTCATTTCCATTTGAAATTAGCCGAAGCCACTCTCATCGACATGAAACAACCCCTGATAAACAAACAACAAAAGTTTTCAACAATACTCCCGACTAGAAGGACAATAATAAAATATACTAACAACACCAATGGTACCGATAAAAACATTACATCAACTAGTTAAGTGAGATTGTTCATGTGCTTCTGTACATTTTCACTAGAGATTAATTTGCAAATTACCTACACTTTACAAATTAAATTACAGTTTGCTTCAAAATTTTCCCAATAAAATAGGAAGAATAAATTATACAAATCATGTAGCCGAAAGTTCAGCGGCCTGTCGCTACACCTCATGGCATTAATGCTAGCAAGCATATACATTTCCACTCAACAATAACATCAAATCATTAATTGTATTTACCATCCTATGTTAACAAATAACATACAAATTAGGTGACAAAAGCTTCAAGGAACTTTTGAAAGCTAAAGAGACGCTTTGTGATGCTGAGAAGAGATTGACGTATGACAACTGGAGGAAGAGTGGTCTGAAGATACCGTTTGAAGTTTGGAAAGCCATGAATGAAAACAGGATGAACATTTCTCCTGTTAGTGTTTAAAAAATATTTACTACAATGAACAAACATAAATGATTAAGAACGATAAATTAAGCTAAAACAAAGTTTTTATTCCAGAATAGTCGAACAGCTGTTATATGATAAATAAAATTTCAAGCAAACGAATTTTTTAAATAAAATAACATTTGCAAGTCAATGCATTGGAGAATGTAGCCAGCCAAACAAGCAATGCTGACATACAACGATCAGATGGACGCGCAGGCTTCTGCTACCTGCATTTGGGAAGGCAGTTAGTGTCCGTTAAATCTTTGAACATAATACCGCGTAGTTGAAGCACACGTATGAACAACTCGAATGCGACCTAGTATTTGTGCCTATACGTACATATTCTAACTTTCATTTCATCCAGACAGATATTCAACAGGCGAGCTGTTAAAGAAATTCAGAAACAGAAAAATATAAATATTTTCATGTTGAAAAATACGATCTGCTGTTTCTCAAACAAGTTTGAAAACAATGCAAAAATTGTGGAATGTTGTTCAGATAATTTCGTAATAAAAGATCTACGTGATCAAACATTGTAACTCAATTTTTAGTTATTCAGATAAACATCTAGTTAAACAATTTTGTGTTCCAATAAATCTTTAAATGATAGAATTGTTTTTTTTTTATTCCAAATATGAATTTTGAAAATAATCAACCGGAGATAATTCAACGAACAAAATGACTACAAAATTATCGAACATAATTTTCAAAGAAAATAATAATTTATTTAGTAAAGATGAAATAAAATTTTTACAAGAATATCATCAATATTTAGTTATCGCTAATAAATGGCTTGGAGTCATTACCCTTCAGATATCGCTAGTGAAATAATATTTCTTACTTTCAGATGAAGCAGTTAAGAAAACAGTTTACTAGGAAAACCATGGTAAATAAACACGATAGTATTCGCCGGATAACAAATCAATCATTTGAAGATTTAATGTAATGCGATGTAGTGATGCAGATGTTCCACTTATTTTACCAATTAAATGCCATTCGACCGTAACATTTGGATAGAAAGGACTGCAACTGGTAGGTGCACAAAACTTGTGTCGTCATCACGATATAAATGACCATTGACCAAACTAAGAATGACACAAAATAGCATATCTCACAGACGTATACTTGTAACCATGAAATGAAACAATGCAACAGCAAAATATTAAAAAAAGTAATAAATAACCGCCAACAGAATGCCCAGCACAGAGAGACGGGCGGACGAGACAGTCGGACTTTTTTACTGGCGCCAACAACTCCAAACTTTTTTTGATAGGTCAACATTGAAAAGCGTTACATAAACATTCATAACGATAATATATCATATCGTAAAAAACGTATGTATTCTTTTTTCAGTAATAAAAACATCTTATAAAAGTGATGAGTTAAAATTTTTACCTATACATCGGAACAGATTAAGTTTTCGATTCAATCCCATATCATCATCACAAATCTCCATTATCTACCATTTATTGAAAATTAAAGGACAGTTTGATCATCAAAATAACCAAGATCCGCCAAGATCTGCATCTTCTATTCTAATTTCTTCGAAAATTACTTTCCTTATCTTCCTTTTTAAACAAATGACGAACAAACTTCCTTCTGTTTATAAAAATTACTAATTATTCTATTCTAACAACCGTCGTAACATTTTTTTTAAAAAGCAGTATCTCATTAAATTACTAAATAAACCATACCAAAATAATTAACAAAGGTTCCAAATAATTTTTATATATTTTATTACATTTTATTTTATTGAAAAATATTTGCAAGGCTTGTTCAAACTCGAACACTTAACCATACAGATCTACAAACAATTTAGAGATTTTATTTGAATTCAATCAAAAATAAAGTGACGGTTAATTAAAATCTTAAAAAAGTCAATTTTTTTTAAAAATTCGAATTTGAAAGAAACAAATATAACAAAATATCAACCAATAAATAATAATTATTATCCATTATTATTATTAATATTATTATACACACTCCTCAGTAGTTTTCGGAGAATGATTCACGTAACAATAACATTCAGTAAGAACAGTTCACAGCATGTCATAATGACTAAATCAACATACCAAACAGAAATTATTTATACATACATATATACTAAGTAAATCAAGAATTATCTAAAAATTATATAACCAAATTTAAAAAAAAAACTAGAAACCAGTCAACGTTTAATAAATAAATAAATAAATTATTAAAAAGATTGTTCAAAAAGTTAAAATTTAAGGCGATGACGAGAATGAAATGTAGTTTGTTTTGTTGGTGTGCTGTTGTGAAGCGAAAACAAACACATCACACAAAACTAATTAGAAGTCGCAAGAATAGTAGTCAGTCACCTACTTACAATTAAATAACTCTCAGGGCCCTAGCTTATAATCATTAACTCAACTCACTTACCTACAAATTTGTATTTCTACGTTTTAGAAATTTTACACGCTTCAGGTATTTTATTTATCATATTTTAGCGTTTTTATTTTACTTGAAACTTTTTAACTAATGTTAAGCCCTAGCCTACCTACGATTGTTCAACTCATCTCAATCCCTAACTTACCTATGAATTAAATTAAGTCCGGTAAAGAAAATAGAAAGTTGAAGAGAAACATAACGACACCGAATGGATGGATGTTGTGTATGTGTGTGTTGTATTGATGTATGTGCGTAAATGTGTACTCTCCAGACACTTCTTATTGTCATCTTCGAATTGTCATCGGAACGATCATCATGAGACCATCATCTGAAACGTGCTAACGCCCACCACAACCCGCCTCTCAGCATTCTGTAGACAAATTTTTTTATTAGCGTAGTAGTAAATGAATGTTAGAATCTTAGAAGAAAAAATTATAAAATGAAAATAGTGAATATTTTAAAATAATAAAGAGAGTAAAATGTAAAAAAACCTTACTTTCGTCCATTCGACAAAGGCAGAATGTTGAATGGCTGAGTGAGTGAATTAATTAATTAATTAAGTAATCAATCAAATGATTCAATGATTAAAAATAATTAATTAATGAAAAAATAATTTGAAAGATTGAGTGATAAAATGAATGAACGAACGAACGAACGAATAAATGAGAAAAATTAAAAGACGAAACTAAACCTTACTTCAAAAATCGTCGTTACTGTACTCCGTTGCACCGACCACCATCATCTGGTCGGCGCACAAGATGTCATCCGAACTTCTGAGTGTCAGTCGAACAGCCAACGAGCTGATTCTTCCTACACCACCATCATCAAATGTAAATCATCATGAGACCACCATTGGAAACGTGCTGACTCCCACCTCTGCCTACCTCTCGTCATTCTGTAGATAACATTTTTTTATTAGCGTAGTAGTAAATGAATGCTAGAATCTGAAAAGCAAAAAATTTTAAAATGAAAATAATGGCAAAATAGTATTTTAAAATAACAAAGAGAGTAAAATGTAAAAAAAAAACTTACCGTCGTCCATTCGACAAAGGCAGAATGTTGAATGCGGCCCGGTTCCAACGTTGTCCTCCAAAACTGGTGCAAGTCCTCCGAGAAACACAGCTCGTGGAATGGAGAAAGATAAAGAGAAGATTCTCATCAGAAAGCTTAGCGGTGCCTGCAAGTCAAATTGCTTAATAAAAATAGTCCTATCTACCTATTCAATTACCTTATCTATATTAAATTGTTAATGGTACGATAGTCGAAAGTCCTCCTTCATTCTCCCTCCTTGCACAGAGGTTCACCGACAGCCAGGGCACCGGATAGAAAACCATTGCCGTGCGGATAGTAGACTATTGCTGGGCGGATAGTAAACCATTTGCCGTCCGGAAGCCGTGCGGGTAGTAGACTATGGCCATGCCGCATAGTAAATCATTACAGTGCAGATAGTAAACCATTGCCGTCCGGATAGTAAACCATTGCCGGTTCACCACTGGCCACCAAGGCTTACCTCTGACAACAGACTTCGAAATTCAGAGTCTATTGGCTATCGTGCCCTCAACTTACCTATTCAATACAATTAAGCCATAGCTTACCTAAAATTACAAAACTCAAGAGCTCAATTCATTGGCCTTTCGGCACCCACCCCACCACCTACGTAATGCCTTGGGCTCCAGCTTAGTAATAATAATATAAAACTTAAACCCTAAATCTATTAATGAGTATGTTACAACGTAGCCTTAACTTACCTATTCATTACATTATGGCCCTAGCTTACCTAAAATTACAAAACTCAAGAGCCCAATTCATTGGCCTTTCGGCACCCACCCCACCACCTACGTAATGCCTTGGGCTCCAACATAATAATAATAATGTAAAACTTATAATTAATCTACCTATCGATACACTTACAGCGTTTTAATTTACATTAAAAGATTGTTCCTAGAATTACATTATTGCCCTTAACTACCTATGAAATTAAATTACTCTCAACCTTAGTAATAATAAATTAGAATGTGTAATGAAAATAAAATTACTCTCAAATACTAACATATGTGTTTATGTATGTATTTGTGTGTGTGTGTAATACGCTGATGCGTGTAATGTGGGTGCAAGAAAAAAATAGAAACGATAAACTTACGCGCCTACCTATTCAAATACCTTAGTGTTGGATGCTTCCTATATATCCTACCTACAATTAAAATTATGCCTATCTAACCTACCTATATAGCTACTTAATGTAATTGTGCGTGCGTGCGTGTGAGCATTCTTACTTAATGTTAAATTACAGAGAAAAACAGAGAAAAGAGAATAAAACGTATCCCAGCCAGGCGTGTATTCTTTGCCACTGAATGAATGAACGTAGCCTGACATCTTCCTCTGGAAGCTTCAACCTGAATGAAATGAATAAAATGAAAAAATCTCATTTATTTAATTAATTTAAATGAAAATAGAGAAACGAGTCGCGGTGAAACCCGCCAGACAGAAAAGCCAGCCAACTGGCAAAAAAAGGAACCGCAAAGAAACCGTAAAACGAACCCCAGCAAGGCGTGCATTTTTTGCCACTGAATGAACGAACGTAGCGTGACATCACAACCATTCTGATCATCCACGATGAACTCCTCTGGAAGCTTCAACCTGGATGAATGAACCTGAATGAACCTAAATGAATGGAAAAATCTTATTTAATTAATTAAAATGAAAATAGAGAAACGCAAAGAAATCGACCGGTCGGCAAAGAAAAGACTCAAAGAAAGGTATCTATATAGGATTTATGCTCTATATAACTCTATACAACTCTATACAACTCTATACAACTCTATACAACTCTATACAACTCTATACAACTCTATACAACTCTATACAACTCTATACAACTCTATACAACTCTATACAACTCTATACAACTCTATACAACTCTATACAACTCTATACAACTCTATACAACTCTATACAACTCTATACAACTCTATACAACTCTATACAACTCTATACAACTCTATACAACTCTATACAACTCTATACAACTCTATACAACTCTATACAACTCTATACAACTCTATACAACTCTATACAACTCTATACAACTCTATACAACTCTATACAACTCTATACAACTCTATACAACTCTATACAACTCTATACAACTCTATACAACTCTATACAACTCTATACAACTCTATACAACTCTATACAACTCTATACAACTCTATACAACTCTATACAACTCTATACAACTCTATACAACTCTATACAACTCTATACAACTCTATACAACTCTATACAACTCTATACAACTCTATACAACTCTATACAACTCTATATAACCATGCATACTACCCCATTCAATCAATAAATCCCACTAAAACCAGGAACCACCGCGTACCTGTTATATGTATGGTGTGAAACAAAATAAAACAAAAAACACACCACCGAGTAGAGTAAAAGAATAGAAGTCCCTAACCTACCTATGTAACTAAATTACCTTATGCCCTAGCCTACCTATATAATAAATTAATTTTTAATCTCACCTACCTATGTTTCATTAACTTAACTTAAGACTCATGAAGAAAGAGAAAAAAGAGTAAAACAGAGCATAAAATACTACCACACAAACAAACATGATGTATGTATGTATGTATGTATGAGCAACCGCTATAGAACCAACCTAAAATATAAAAAAATACAACGTACAAACACACAAATCACAGACATGCAAACTCTATATAACTCTATATAATAAAATAAATAAATATAAAAAGTATTATAAAAATAAAATAAATGAGATCAGACAGACTGCTTCAAGCGAGGTAGAATGCCTGATCTGATTTTCATGTTGTCTCAGCTCCTATTTATACTCGTTTCAACCATACATTCTCATCATTTCAATCAATCACATCAGTAAAAAACTTATTTGAAGTATACTACTACACTATTGTTCTACACTATTATACAGTCTTAATTTTTAAAATAGGATGGATATTAATATAGCCTTAATACAGGCTGATTTACTACCATCCAGTAAAATAACTATAGTTAACATGACATCATTTTCCCCCAACGATTTCGCAAAGATATACCCATCCTATTTTATAAATTTTATTTGATATTTTGTAATTAGTCAGGTCACAATTATCACCATCGATATTGCAATAAAATCAAATTGAGAATTTTTGAAAAAAGTATCTTTATTCATTTTGTGATACTACTTCGTTCAATAAGATACTGTTTGATAAATATAACTAGAATAAACATAACGGCTTTCGCTCACTTTTAACTGCTATTCAATGTGGTAATTAATTACTTTTATTTGGTATAAATTTAAAAAAATAAAATCGACATTACCGAAAATAATTAAAAGTTGAAAAATTTGAGATTCTCTGCATATCCCTGCTTCATCCAATAGGAAAGTGTTGTATATTGGTAAATTAATTAAGACTGTCAGAAGTGCAATTATTGATGAAAATCACAGCATGTTCGGCGTTAGATAGCTTTTTGTTTAATTTTTCGATTTTTCTAACGATTAGTTATAAATCACTGTCAAGTTTCTGGAGTTCAAAACTAAAATTTGTATTTATTTTAAGCATGATAGAACAAAAAAGCTTTTTTTCGGTGTTCAAATACGTTGTGTGTGGCCAAATGCTCAAGTGTGTATATATATATATATATACTTATATATATATATATATATATATATATATATATATATATATATACTGTCGCTATAATGTTAATTCGTAGTTTAATGTGAATACCTAACGATCATTTAATTAGTTATTCCGATCTTATTGCGATTAGAAAAATCTAAAAATTAAACAGGAAAATAAACATCGCGGAACATGCTGATTTTCTCACACACACACACGCACACATATATATATTGTTGTAGTAACCTTTTCAACGCACGTTACTACTAACATCAATGTTATAACTTGTTATCTCTATATTTCCAAGACCAATGTTGTTGCTTCCAACTATCGTTATGTGTTCGTTATTCCTAAAGGAATTCTTATCGATTTCCGATAGATGAACACAACTGCTTCAAACGCAAACTTTGTTAAACTTTTATTTGAATGCCAACAGTAATAGAAACACTAAACTAACTAACACAAGCAACAACATGAATCACATTTACGACTTTGCATCGAACCTCGCTTTTCCTGACCCATCTTTCCGCAGGACCTTATATAGCCTCTACGAAAGATTTTTTACAATCGTAAGATTACAAATATAGCAAAGATAACAAATAAGACACATCAACACACACATATGTATAATGTCCGACATGTATCAACAAATAATTCATTTCATTTCCATTAAAATTATTATGATCAAACGTGAAGATGATAGGAAAAAGATGATGACGACGATAACGATGATGATGAAGTGAGTATAGTGTTGTTGATGGTAGTGGGAGCATTGCCCAGCGATGAGACTTCAGTGGATGCAACTGATGGCGACTGCACGCTGCCTGATGCTGTTTGAATGTAATGTCATTATCTTTACTGCTAATATCACAATCATCATCTTTATCACCATTACCGGCATTATTATTTACATCATCAACGACCATAAAACAAACTAAACAACTCAACTTAGAAGCAACAGCAATTAAAATGTAACATAAAAGCACTATAAAAAACAGATACATACTAGAAGACCCAGACTCAAAAACTCCATAAACGCTACTAGCAGCATTAATGATAAAATTATTATTACTGCTATTGGTTGGGACAACGAATTCATTAATGAGCCTGTCACTAATTTTAATGTCGGAGCTATTAGTTGCATGCATTGTGACGCTTGTGCTTAAACTGCTACTATAATTTATAAGATCAACAACGTTGTTGTCATCATTACTTATAATATTATTAAAATTGTTATTATTATTATTTATGTTATTTAAGCCAACTAATTTGTTTAAATTATTATTGTTGTTGTTATTGCTGTTGAAAGTTTGATTGTGATTGGGTAGAACATAAGGAGCCCAAGAAATTGATTGGCTATGTTGGCAGCCTCTCTCAAGCCACTGAGGAATGTTCCATGGACGGTGGCTGGGTAGTCCCGAATTGTGTGTTCTCCTGCAAAAAATACCCTTGGTGAAATTGATGAGCTGTTGTTGCTGTTGATGTTAGTGTTGAGGTCAACGTATGAACAATTAAAGGTTCTATCTAAATAAACTGTGAAAAGGCTAAAATATCAGAGTGTCTATAAAAAAAAATACGAAAGCATGCTATAATTGTCACGATGAAATTTGAGCATGCACACAAACACAAAATAATTCAGAAAAAGTTTTTCAAATCGTAGAATAGAATAAAAAAATTTAATTTCTCTCTCTGTTGGCAGTTGTCGCTGATAAACTGAATGAGCAGCGTTCAAAAGGTTTGCATGAATAAAAATTGTTAATTGCTGGGACTGTAGTGAATTTACAAATTGAAAAGTTAACGTTATGTGAACAGTTGGGTGTGATTCCTATGAGCACTAACTCTACAACATTCATTCCATATCCATAGCATTTGTTATATTCAGGTTAAAAAATTAAACAGTGGTAAATTGTAGAGAGCAACCGTTTACCCCGCTGATACCATTGGCAATTCCAATCTGAGTCCAACGATAGGAGCTGGGATTCCTGCAGACCAGTGGTCCTCCACTGTCACCCTATCCATTCATCGGTTATAAATGGGTTATATTCATTATAATGTAATGATAAAACAAAAATGTACACCGTTATCATAAAACAGGTAGCGAATAAACTGTTACATCAATGCCAATTTACTTAAATGCCAAATCATTGGCTAGTGCATTGGTAATTTTATAAATTGTATCAGTTACCTTTTGACACACACACACACACACCACGTGTACCTAACTACCTAATTGTAATATTGTAAATTGTAATACCTTATTAATTTATCTTCAGATAAAGTTCTAAATTAGCTTTAATACAAGAAAAAGAAAGTATTTTAAAATAACTAGAAACATTAAACAGTTGAATAGAAAAGTTTTGCATAATCTTTTCATGAAAATTCATAGTAAACAATAAACAGTATTAATTTAATTACATTGTACGTAGAAGTTCCTTTGCAAGTTAATCCCAAGTTGGCACATAACAAAGAACGGTTTTGGATAAAGATACTGCATTTCAAGTTGGGCTTCAGGATTATTTTGCTTTCCATTAGAAATGTGCTTGCTGGTGAATTATCATATGAAACAAATTCCTTATATTAACCCTGCGTTTACCAACATTTTTTTATAGCGCTGATTACCAATGTGGGTCCGTTGGACCCACATATCGACATGTCATTAATTTAAACTAAAATTTAATTTTGACTCATTTTTATGTTGTGTTTCTAAATATAGCAATTTCTAAATAAGCAAAATATACAAAAACAAGAAATTTTTCTGAACAATTAAAAAATAAATGTTTGATAAACAATGTAGTCACTTAAAAATCATAGATTAAATGTTGCAGTTGTTACAAATTACAACGGAATGCTCACAACAAATGTTTTTTTTGCATCTTGCACATAATGATTTAGTTTTACTGTCTTTTTTATAACTACACAACACACATCGTTTTTTTCTCGCTGGTTCATCTATATTCAAAATTGCTGTAGGTTGCAGTGGCGCCTCTGAAAGCGTTAGTTCTTTGCCCAAATCAATCAAAAACTGCCTTCTTTTGATACTTTTTTCAGATTGCATTGATTTCCATATGATATAAGCGTTTAATCCACTTATATCTATCATGTTATCAAACACAACAAGTGGCCATCGTCTTGTCATCCGTTTAGTGCTATACCCTCTTGTCATCTGATCCATTGTATCAACTCCAGCTTTGGTTTTGTTATAATAAAGAACTATTTCTGGTTTCTTTTTTTTCATTATTTTTATCATATTCTGGTTGGTGATGCATTGTACTCAACAATGTGACAGTTTTATTTTTCTTTGCCATATAAGAAACAATAGTGAAATTGTCCTTGAATCCAAACAATGATGAATATAAATCTCTACCTTTTGGAGAAATAAATTTATCTGGCAATTCCGGACGATTTTTTCTAATTGTTCCTACGATTGTCAGATTTTTCTAGAATAACTTTTCTGCCAAACCAATGCTCGTAAAAAAATTGTCACACGTAATGTTTCTGCCAGAATTTTCCAATCCCCTTATCAGAATTAGGACCACTCTTTCAGCTTGATTTTTTTCCCTTGGGTTATCTTTTTCTTTCCCCTTATAAATTTCCAAATTCCAAACATAATTTGAGCTACTATCGCACAATGCCCAAAATTTAATGCCATATTTACCTGGCTTGGAAGGAATATATTGACAAAAGGGACATCTCCCTCTAAAGGTGACCAACTGTTCAGCAATAGTTACTGTATGACTCAACTTGTAAGGATCTTTTAAAGTAGAATTCCATAATTCAAATAAATCTCTTATTGGCTCTAATTTGTCTGGTGATCTATGTTTTCTGCATAATGCAGCATCATCAAATCTCAGAACTCTTAAAATTTCATGAAATCTGGTTCTTGATATTATTTTATTGAATAAAGGTCTGCCATCACTTCCGCTCCATAACTGACTAACTGGTTCATTCTTAGATTTATATACACCAACTAATATGAGAACTCCAATAAACTTTTTTAGTTCATTAACACATAACTTCTTATAACCATCTTTCATTTCGCAAGCTTTACTTAGAGAAATCTTTGATTTTGACATTATAAGGAACAAAAACACAATTAATTCAAATAAAAGTATATTTATTAAATGGCTACTACCATGGAAACAACAATAAAAGTGAATCTAAATAATAAATACTTTTTAAAAATGAATGTGGGTCCAACAGACCCTGTCGGTAAGTGGTGCTTGAATTTTTATAGCGTAATTACTAATGCCAAAAAATTTATAAATTTGCATTTTTTTTTTGACAATAAGTATTTAGAAAAAGTCAGAATTTTTGGAAATTTTTACAAATTTTTTTGTCTATCTACATCACATCAAACATCGAGGATGGGTCCAATGGACCCAGCTGGTAGTTCTAGGGTTAAACTATGCTACAACAAGTATACATTATTATTCTTCTTTTTTCAATTTTATTTTATTTCGTTTCGTTTAATACTCCAAATTTCCTCCTTACTTGCAATACAAAAATACTGCTTAATGATTGTAGTTTTATTTATATGGTACAGTTACAAAAATTTTAAATTGTGTGAATATAACTTCTGAAAATTTTAATGCAAAAATGAAATCCAAATTATTTCCGATTTGTTGTTATCATTGTAGACCTCTCTTAGCGATCAAACATCTATACAAGAAAAATTGTAAAAAATATTGAAGAAATGATGAAGATACAGACCACGTTTATATACTTTATTTATCGTTACCTTTTTATTACTTGCAGTTCCATGACAAACAGGTGAAAGACGAATGTAGGTGAGAATTTTTAGTGACGAACAAACAAAATAAAAAATTCGAAACAATAAATAAGAAAACTAATGAAAAAAATTGGTAGCTAGAAAACGAGCAGACGTTATTATCTTTTCTTTTTTGATGCTTTTTCTAAACCATCCATGTTGCTAGCTGATAGTCCGTACTTATCTGCAACAATTTATCCAATTATTTTAAAATTATCATTCTTTATAAAAAATTCTAAAAACTGAAGGAGATTATAACTATAAAGTTATAATCTTCTCAAACTTTGAAAAATCATTGGTTTATATATAACAAGATATAAAATAAACACAAATCAGTTATAAAAATTACCGACATAAAATGTTGCAATAACTCGCTGAGGTAATTTATAGAAGATAAATAAATAAATAAAAACTAGAAATTCAAAATTTCTCGGGTGCCTACTTGGAAAAACAAATTCAAACGATTAGCAGCAGTACTGACCAATAAGAAGATTCCTAATGATGTGAATTTGATTGCCTTGAACTTGCAAGTTTCGGTTCCCGCTGCTGTCTTTGTCGTCAGATGGCTGGAGCTTCACACTGCACGATATCATTTTCTGTATCACACTGACCAAATTTTCTACATCCAGACCATACAATTCCAAGTTTTTAACTACAGTAATCTTTGTGGATGATTAAAAAAATGAGAATAAAGCAAGCTCTGTAAAATGTTTATAGGTACTTACCTTTTTGTTTGAACCTTTCTTGCTAACATTAAATATAATTTTCTTCGGATATCCTGTCCTAATACTTGGTTCTTGATTAGGGAAGACAACTTTATGACAGACCGTCATCTTGTCAACGATCCTATCAATCAGTTCTGCCCAAGATAGTACAGGAGCATATTCGTTTTTGTTGAGAGCTACGGCACTTAGTTTTTCATCTAACTGCACATTCCTTTTTTTAAATGAGTCGAAACGGTGAAAAATTAGCAAAAATATTTTCTTAAAACTTGGCTGGCAACATAAACATAATAATAATAATTATTATAATTATTAATATTAGTAGTAGTAGTAAAATTGTCATCGTCTTCATAACTAACCTTCCCTCGTTCAGCTGATTATCCCTGACATATTTTGTGATGTGTCCTCTCAGATCTGCCATGCTCAATGAATCTCCCTTTTGGAATCTGTTCTCATTCATTTTAGTGTTAACAAAATATTTTTTTCGGTTCTTATTTTCAAAGATGTTAAATAAACTAACATTGGTTAATAATTTAAATCACAGAAATAATAATAACCTACTAATAATAAATTTAAATAACATAACGTAAGCTGAAATATGAACAATCGACAAACATTTGTATTGTGAATTAATGAATGATAATAAGACAACTATCTCCAGACATTTAAACGTGATTGAAGTTTTCTAACTCAAATCATTTGAAACAACAACGACTATATTTGCTGGATAAACAGCCTAAAATTTTAGAGGGATAGTTGCAGAAACATTTCATGAAACTCAGCATCACTACAGAGGCAAACAGTGAAGTGAATAAAAAGTTTTTCAGCTAGCCTATTGCCTGGAAGATAGTTCAATACGGACAAGAGTGGAGTTGTGACCCGATAGACAGTTGTGATCTCAGGAGGTGTGTATTCAATGTCATATTGATCAGCTGATGAACTGCTTCCAATCTCCTTTCTTTCATTTGCCCATGATGGTATCTCAAAAGTTCTCAGCCTGTAGGAGCGTTTTAATGTTGTACGTAGTATTTTCGACTGCCAATGTTGATGAAACAAATTGATTGATGTAAAAATAAACAGCAGACTCTATTTATTAACTCATAAAAATAAAACGCGACGTTGGATGAACTTAAATAACGAACGAATGAACGAACAAACTAACATGTCGTGATCAAAATCAATGGACATAATGCTCTCAACTCCTCTATTCGTCTCCTCGACTATAATCAATTCCTCCTCCTGCATGTATGACAAAAACGTCGACGCCTTTTTATATGTTGTTTTCTTCACATCGAGACACTTGTCATCAGGACTGGTAATAATTAATTCAATTACTTCAATTCATAACCCAATTATAAATAACTGATTAACTTTCAATAGGCTGAAATACTTTTGATTGCAAGCGAAGCTAACAAGATACAAAACATCTAGAAAGAAATTTTCCCTAGATGTTTTGCTTTGCAAGTTTTAAACACAGGTGAGGTATCACAATTGTAATAGAACTTTTAAAAAGTGAAGTCGTAACCAAATGTGGTCTTGATTTCGAACAAATTTAAAACAAATCCAAAATAAAATAACAATGAGACACATGAAAACAATGAGAAAAAAAACAAACCAGCATTTCATGACATATCTCCCATAGAAAGTGCTGTATAATATGGGCAGCTGAATCTTCTTACCATACAATATAATGGCACTTAAAAAACATTGCTTCAATAAGTCATCCATGGAAGCTAACAATTTTAAAAATTTATTTTAACGATTTTAATTTTAAAAAAATAAATCAAATTATGAAGTAAGGACGTGAAAAAAACGGACAAAAATTAAAAACAGACAAAAAATCAGAAACATGGACAAATTCTAACATTTTACGTTCAGATCAACATTTAGACATGCATCCTTTTTTTCTTCCTCTTCATTTTCATCGTCATCAGCAGCATCATCATCTCCCTCGTCACCATCGTCATCAGCATCATCATCATCTCCACCGTCATCGTCGTCATCGGCATCATCACCTTCATCATCGTCATCACCCCAAGCACCTTCTTTTTCCAAGTTAAAACGACGAAAGTGATCTTTTGGAACATTATCAACAGCAACCCGAGCATCATAATCAGCACCACCACCCTTATTATCATCATCATCATGGCCACCAATATCAACCTTGTTGTTCGGTGGATGATAATTCTCATCTATATTCTTATCACCAAAATCACTATGAGCATTTTTTCCACCACTTACAACATCACCAACATCTTTGTAGATATTTTCTCGTTTGTTATCATCCCTTACGTCCTTTCGCTCATCAGACAGTCTGGTGGATACAGACTGTAAGATATTGGAGGCACCAAGTTTAACATTATCACTTTTGTCATCATTTGTGAGTTCGTCATCATCACCTTCATTATTATTAATCACCGGCGGAGAGGATTTATCACCAAGTTCCCTATATTTTGAACGTTATATTAATAAATCGAAGATTATAAATTTATTCACATGATATTAAAATTGTAACAAAGTAGTAATGCTACAAAGATGGAGACAATAAAATAAAAAATAACCACAAATGATCTTCAAAAGTGTGCATTATGTTCACCAGCTTTCCTGTTCGAACGTTCTCCCGCTCAATGGAATAACTGTCAAGAGCAGTCTTACCCACTGCCACGGAGGCCCTAAAGTTTAAGGACATGTAATTTGTTGTTTGAACTACTTCAATTTAATGGATAATGACTTTTATAAAATAAATTACATTTTTCTGAAATGAAAAAGATTGATTGCAATGATAGTGCAAAAAAATCAAAAAAAAAGAGAAAGTCAAGATAAAAGCAATGAAACAGAATAAAAAAAACTAGCATTCAAATTAAATAGAAGTATATAAATATTTTATATGTAATTAAAAGATGATGATGATAAGGATAATGATAATTTTGAATAATTTTTAAATTATCAACTTGCTTCCGGTAACTCGCACAGAGCATGGTTGACCATTTGTAAAAGGTTTGAAGCCATTTTTTGGAACAATGACACCTGGCAACATTAAATCAGCCCCTCCTTTCAATTTTGAGTTTACAGACGCATGGGTCTCAAACGATATGACCAGATCTGGATGCTTCCACATGGCATAAACTTAAAATATTGTTTGATGAAAAGTTTTAAAGCGGTGAAAATTTTGAAAAAATTTCCTAAATTTCAAAATTAAATTTTTACAAATGAATTAATTCAACACGATTAGGATTTATTTAGAGGAATATGAATATAGAATAAATGACAAAAAGTTAAATAATTTTTAGAAATCACAAACAAGCCAACCGGTTGGCAAGACTAATTTGTTAACCACAAAAAATGTCGGATTCTTTTTATGAGAATACACGGTGACAATATCTTGGGAGTAAGTGCATAACTTTATAACGCTTACATCTTCCTTCAATGGTAGCAAATCTTGTAATGTTTCTATTGACAGCTTAGGGTTGTACTGCCGTAGTTCATCATGGATTTTTTTCCTTAAAATAACAAAAATAATCAATTTACTAATCATTGTCAAGTAAGATTTCACTAATTTATGAATGACAATAATCAAATATGAATATGTGTCAACATGGGAAATAAATATACAATTATTTAATATTTATTTAAAATTAATTTACTTAAATTTTTTATTTAAGTTTTTAACATCAACATTTTATTCTTTAATTAATTAATAATTAATTTAACTAATTTAATTAAAGATGAAAATGTTAATCAGGAAACTTTTAGAAATGTATACATTTATTTTACATTTTTCAAGAATTTAGTTAGTGTTAATGTGTTAGAGTTAGAAGACGAATTAATATTAAAAAGAAGGCTAGTTAATGTTAATCTCTAACTAACTACTAACCTGTCCTAACGCTAACCGATTTTTGAGTCAGAGAAAAGCACAAAACATTAAATTGAAAAAAATAAATTTACTATTCACTGAACAGAATTTGCTATTAAAAGATGAAAATAAAAATTTGTTACTTTTCAGATTTTTTAACAATGTTGTTGGACTTTACTTTGAACGGTTTCTGAAACATAACACCGGTCAAGCAGATTGTCGGGATTTAGAGTTAAATTAACTTTTAAGAAATTATCTTTTAACAAATATTATTTGGTCTTTGTCAACGAACAATAAAAGTTCTATGCTAAAAAATAACGATAATAGAACACGAGGATAACGAATAAAGGAAAGTGTAGACAAATTACATTTTTTTCTATTCGGCAGCCATTTTTGTTTTATTTTTGATTAATAATATTAAACACCAGTCTAGTCATGGCTAACAAATTTGTGAGTTTTTCAAAATTGTTCAAAATAAAAAATTTTCAGACGCTTTTTTCCCTTTTCCTTCAATTTTTTTGACTTGCTTTATTATTTATCTGGTATTTATCATTTTTTTATTTAAAATTTATTTATTTATTTATTTTACACTTTAGCTGAAAAAGTCCTTTTTCGTAGTATATTTTATATATTTATTATTATAGCCTGGAGACCCGGATGTTGAAGTTACATATGAAGATCAAATGAAGATAAATTCATTTGCAAGAAACAATGCTTCACTGCAAGATCTAAAAGAAGAACTTGATTTGAAAAAAGTTATCTAATTTCTTATTTGTTTTTGTGTGGTGTAATACTTGAAATACTAGGTAATATTAATTTCTCTGTGAATATAAAATTGTTTTTTTTTATATAATATATTATTATTAAGTGTAAGTAGGTTATCTGTTAATCAATTAATTTTAAGTAATCTAATAAAGTTATATAGATCAAATTTTTTAGTTGATTATATGTTCAGACACTATGGCTACCAAATGAAAATGTTAGCTGCAGTCTCTTCGAAGTCATGCTTTCCAACATCCTGCATCATTGCATCTGCCCTATTTTGAATTCAATAAATTATGATATTATATAAAATATAACTCAGTGCTGTGCTTGATACGTCTGATGTTTTTTATTTTTAATTATCAAAATAGTATTTTGTCTAAAACTTCAATTTCAGAAAAGTCTGCAAAATCTAGAAGATGCTGAATCAGATGTTTTGATGATGGATGATTCAGAGGAAACAAATATACCGTATGTAATCCTACTTTTTGTCAATCTTTAAAACACATTTTATTTTTTCAACTAAATTTTTATTACACAGTTACCAAATTGGTGAATTTTTTGTCTGTTGCAACCAGTCTGATGTTTTATTATACATTGAAAAAGAAAAAGCTGATCTAGATAAAGATATAAAAGAAATGGAAAATAAAGCAGATAATTTTAGAAAAATTTTGGCTGATCTCAAAGTTCAGTTGTATGCCAAATTTGGTACAAATATTAATTTGGAAGCTGAAGATGAATAATTCTGTTCTTGAAATTACATTATATTATTTAATATTGTTTTCACAGAATAATTTTTTTATGTAAACTTTTAATAGCGTTTGGGTAGCATTTTTTAGCATGGTTAAAGATTCATTAGGTCCGGGATTGAGTTGAAATAAATTAGATTAAATTTATATGTTATATGTTATGCTTGTGTGAATGCTGGTTTCGTATTTGCGTAAACGCAACCATATTCGAATTTGGTATTCTATTCCATGTATGGCGGTGCTGGTGTGCGAGTTTGTCAACCGTTGACGTTCCATCTGCATTTTTGATTAGCTCTTCTATGGTCGGGCGATAATGCGTCTAATGTTTTCAAATATTATTGGAAAAAATTAAAGTTTTCGCAGATGACAACTACCAGTTATTTTATTAAATTTTGCTACTGAATGGATGTTGGACCGTTGAGGAATTTCAAAAGGGAAACTAAGTACGCAGGAAGTCTAATCGGAAGTTCTTGTAGTGTGTGTGGCCGCTCATTTCCTAGGCCCTGTCTACTCAGCCGACACATGAAAATACACCTGGGAGGTGAGAAGCCGTACAAATGTGTTGACTGCGAAAAAGAGTTCACTCACCCTGGCTCGTTAAGGACCCATATGATTACTCACAATGGCAACCCATCTCTGAAATGTAACATCTGTGGCAGACAGTGCGTTCGACAGTCTCACCTGGAAAATCACATGCGTATACATACAGGGGAACGTCCATTTACGTGCAACAATTGTAATAAATCTTTCTCACTTCTCAGTAGTTTAAAAACACACATGACAGTTCACACAGGTTTAAAACTGTTAACATGTTCACTGTGCTGCAAACAGTTTAATAGACCTTGCAACCTCGAAGCTCATATGAGAATGCATTCCGGGGTCAAACCGTACATTTGTACAGAATGCGGGAAAAGATTTCCACATTTTGGTAGCTTGAAAATTCACATGGAGAAGCATGTTCTAAAAAATGTTGGCGTTGAAGATGAACAATCTGACGACAATGCAAATACACATGACGCCAGTACAAGACTGGATGATGACACTTGGAACAACTCTGATGATATTGATTCTGATATAAATTTAAACTGTGATAACAACAGAAACGATAATTCTTCATTTAATAAATTCAATCTCAATGAGTTCAGTCATAGTTACGTTGCTCCCAAATCTGATTCTTTTCATACCTCAATACCGTATTCATAGATCGTTGTAACTTCATTTTTTCATTTGTACTTCTTGCGTCTGCTATGTACGATTTTCATCAAATAAACTTTTTCAAAAGTTTGTTTCTAATAAAATGAAATATTAACTAAGTTCGCTCGGATCTGTTCGTCGGTGATTTCGTTCCTCCAGTAGGGGTTCGCTTTCACTGAATTTTAATTGTAAAATGTAAGACGCACCCTAAATTTCAATGTCGTTTAGAAATGTAAACAAAAACATTTAAACATGGCGTCTTCAACAAGCAAGATTATTTCGACGATCAGAACTGTTAAGGGCTCGAGAAGTGTCGGATCGAGATCGGCCATTTCGTTGGTGTGTTCTATTTATTTAGTAATAAAATTCATAATGATTTCATATGTAAATAATTTAAAATTCACTTCGGGTCTTTCACTTACATTCATTTCATTCTTTCTTATTAATTTGTTGTTCATTTTTTATTTCATTGATTTAACATTCAGTAGTTAATTAATTAATGAATTTCTTCATCGGTCTTCAGCCGATCCGCCTGTGTCGGCTTCTCTTGGATAAGCAGTGTTGTCAGACACCTTCATTCAAAAATGTTAATGAGGCTAAAATGCCAAAAGGTGACACAAAAGACAAGAGTAATTATCATAAGAGTATTATACTATAATACCATTACATACACAATTGAGTTGGTAATGAATGTCATTCAATTGAAAATAAATATAAATTGGCAAATTCAATACAATGACTTGTTTTTTACAGCCTATATTTGTGTCACATACATTATTATTTGTTTTATTTTATGTATTATTGGTTTGCCGATTTGTGACTAAATTCAGAAACAAAAACAAAAATAAAAACAAAACATTTTTTTCATCTAAGTTTTATTGAAATAACTGAAGCTGATGATGATGAAGTTAAAAAGATTTAGACTAGACTTTTGTTAAGGAATTTAGAATGTGACAAAATTTCTGTAGTACAAGATTAATTGAATGATTTGTTACAATAAGATGTTTAACATTAGGTATAATTTTTTTATATTTCAAAAAACAACAACTGCACATTTGTCATGCAATTCTTGCTGTAGTAAGGTAGTCAAGAATTGTTGGCATTGAAATGACAAGTCGGATTATATGTTATTTTAAATTTTTAGATTATTTTAATAGACCCCTTTAGTATTTAATTGTTTTTCAAAAACTTTAAATAGCTAATGTTTTCAAGATTCATATATTTATTTAGTGTTGAAAAATTAATTTAGCATTAAAAATAAATAAACTAATTTGGTTTTCCAATGTTATTTTTAGACCACCTCCGCTGTTAGGAGATTAAAAGAAATTATGAAGGAACAACCAGAGATGGTCAGGTTTCTATTCATGAATTTTTTGTTTCAATTTTTAAATGTTATACATTTAATTTTTTTGAAATGATGTGTGTGTTTCATGGTATGGCAAGCATATATTTTTCAAATTTCATATGATGTTTTCTTGTTTTTACCGTGTTAATTTAATTAATTATTCTTTATTAGCTTTGCACTTCCAGCTTTAGTTATTATGCTTTGAAACGTAAGTTATGGTCATATATAAATTTTTCATTTTTTATAATTTTAAACAATTCAATTTGTTAAATGATTTGACTAGTTATAAAATTGATCTGTTTTTGATAACATTATTTTTATTTATTTTTTAAACAATTCAATTTATTAAATGATTTGATTAGTTCTGAAATTGATTTGTTTTTGATAACATCATTTTTATTTATTTTTTAATTTTAAACAATTCAATTTGTTAAATGATTTGACTAGTTATAAAATTGATCTGTTTTTGATGACATCATTTTTATTTATTTTATTGGATGAGTATAGTAGCAACATATTGTCCATCCAATCAGACAGGATTGAGGATAGGAACTCGAACAAGAGGTTGCAACGGCCAGTCGTACGTTCTCTCCTACGCACCAAGTAAGGAAATTTCAGATGAGCATGTCCAGCAAGATGGTTTGTACCAACCAACTGTGCCACTTGTTTACAATATATTTTATTTATATCATTTTTGGGTCTTTTTAGTTTCAAACTATATAATCATTTCAAATTTCATTATTCAATTTTTGTAATATTAGAATTATTGTGCCAATAAATTGATGTTTTCTTCAAAATATTGTGATCCATTGTTAGTTGATCTGGTGTTTAATCTCAAAACTCATCTCAACTATAGAATCTTACCGATTAAAAAAAGCTGTTTGAAAATCTTTAGAAGGAGATTAATTTTTGTTATTTTGTTGTTATTGTTTTATTTGTCACTGCTATTTCACTCATCCCTTTCATCAGCTCATTCATTTGTAATCCCATTAAAAATGGAGATGAATGCACAATGAGAAGGATAAAAAATTGAACAGGCATCAACGTCTTCATAGACCGAAAAGCCCTGATGCACATAATAGGAACCGAAATGGATTACGTAGAGGATAAACTGAGCAGTGGTTTTGTATTCAACAACCCGAACATCAAAGGAACTTGTGGATGTGGGGAGAGCTTCAATGTTTAATTTTTAATTCAAGTCACATTCGTTCGTTGTTTTCACTTTAATTATTATTATTTTATTGTTATTACTCATCTGTGCTTGTTTATTTATTTTAGCAGTAGTGAGGTGCTTTTGTTATTAGTTGTAGCTTCAGTTGTAACGTTTTAGTAGTAGCGGTAGTAGAAGTAGTGGCAGTAGAAGTAGTTGTAGTGGTAGTATATAGTACTGAAAATAATGAAAACAGTTTATCAATTTTTAATGTTTGCAATTTCTTTGAACCGTTTGAAGATGAAAGACCACAATTTGTACATAGAAATTTTCTCGAATAGAAATAAAATTGTTTACCAAATGAAAAAAATAACACATAGCGTTGATATCGTGCAAATTTGTGTTTGTGGGCGTGGCCTAACGCGCGTCAATCTTTTTCGCATTAAATAATCGATATAAATGTCAAATAAATAATTTTGTTCAGTAAAATGATTGCTTTGCACGAGCGTGAGCGCCTACTTCTTCACGAGCGCGTGGATATACGCATCCATATGCATGTATGCGTCCGACGTGTATATACGTATACATTCTATGTAGATGCGTGTTTATGCATGTTTGCGTGGTGTGCTATTAGTGACAGTTCATACCTGACTAGGGCAGGGGCTGCGTAGATTATCGGTAAACAAGTGCCCTTTACTAATTACGTTACGATGTTGATGGTATCCAGCTTTCAATCACAAAAAAAAATTGCATTAAGTAAGTCAAAGTATTCTCATCATGTGGCAAACCGATATGTTGTTGGTAACATTGTAACATTATATGAGGAGAAACATTATTATGTAATTAGTTTTGGAATCACAGCACAAGTCTAGTTGCATTATGGCTGCAAGGTTGCACGGAAATTACGTAGCGACTCAACTTTAAAACAGAATCGAATTTGCAGATGACAATAAACACTCAGCCCAAAAACAAAATGTCAGTTGATGGGGGAACCTTAAGTTTCTTAACAATTCAAGTCGAAGCCTGCCTGTGTCGTCATGATTTTTTGAAATCATGTTTAAGTTTCTCTTTATATTTTTCATCCATTAATATTGACTGCGAGTATTATTTCAGTTTGTCGTGCGTTTGCTGGCAATTATTGTTTCGTCTTGACAGAACATGAATCCATAACAGCAACCAAGCAAATATGCAAACAATTTTCAGTCATGCCATTATTTTCGTTGCTTTCATTGTTGCTGCGTCTTACAGTTATTTATTACAGTTATTATTGTTGAATTATTATTTTTCTGTCCAGCTAGTAGCAAATACGTCTGTACACTGGCTTAATATTTGGCAGAGACGTGGCGCTAACACAACAATGCAAACTGAACTTTAGGAGTCTGCATTGAGCGCTACGTTAATCTTCCTTTATACAGTGCTCTCATTATTGGCCCAATGAAAATGTTTATAATTTGTGTGTTTTAATTGAGCCTTACTTGCGTGTGTGTGTATACATGTTCACATGCGCTGTTTTATTGCTCAAATGTCATCTTATCAGATGGCTCGGCACCTTTTCCTATTCTTTTTCCAGAGGAAATAAAGCATTCTACGGCCTTACTCGATCAGTATCGAAAAAATGTGTAAATGGTATTCTATCCGATTGTTTTTGAAAAGTTATAAATACTAAAATCAATTTTTATTTTCATCTAAACTATAACCGCAAACCCGTTAGGAAATATGCTTTTTATGTTTATACGTAATTATGTAAATGATTCTTACATCATAATTCCCCTAGCATTGTCAATCAGAGTGTAGATTCAGACACAGAAAGACGTCAACAATTTTCTCCCGCCCAAAACGTTCTTTGCAAAAAATATAATTTCTTTATTGTTTACGAGACTGGAACATGTGTGGCGCTATAAATCCTCACGTGCATGCAGTGGGAAGCGATTGTGATCTCTTGGAATGGATATTCAGTGCACTGGTCTGGTGTTGTTCATCTTGTTCGTTTGACTCTATAGCTTACATATATACTATAGCTTATAGCTATAACTAACAAGTATCTATAACATTAAGTTCTAATTTGTATTGAAAACATTATTGTAAATTACAATATTAATGTAATGAATAACTGAGTACCTAAATAAGTAAGAACTGTGTGAAATGTTAATTTTCATTGCTGCCCTTTTTAAGATGAGATGGTGAGAGGATGAAATGGTAAGAGGATGAGATGGGAAGAGGATGAGATGGTGAGAGGATGAGATGCATCTATCCGCAAGTCGGCAAGCGATCTGGAAGATAGCAGGAAACGAAATGATGTATTTTCCTTTCTTATGATGAGGGCTTGCAAATAAGCGCAACACGCTCTTATGATGCTCTCGAGTTTGCAGTCGAACACGAGCGGTTGACGTTCCACATTCTTTCATCGTTCGAATTGTTATTGAACAAAAGATTCGTAATTATAGCAGGTGATTAAAATATTTCTTATTAAACAGATGAGCATAGGATGTTTAAAAATAGCAATCACATTGTTTCATGGATGATTGGATTGAAAAATGCAATCACAGATATAAAGATTAATAATTCTATAAACAAATAATTTCTATTCAAAAAAACATTAAGATATAATTATATATTCATTGTAAGTTACACCAAAACACCATGGCCTAAAATATTAAAGTATTGATTTAATGGACATTCCGTTAAACTCACAAAAAAGTGCACAAACAAACGTATGATCGAACACATGTATTTTTTTGTTATACTTATAAAACGCGTGTAAATATTTGAGCACCTGAACGTACGGACGGATGCACGCAAGCTGTATCTGTTGTGTACACTATTAACGATACGTGGACAGCAGGTGTCAGATTGGTAATGCACATTACGTAAGTGTACATATATGTGTACGCATACATATCCCTTCCTTATATACATGCATGCATACATACATACATACGTACACACACACACACACACACACACACACACACACACACACACATACATACATGCGTACGTACGTCGTACACGCATATGACAACGTTAACGCGCGTACATTTGCGTACATATATCGTGAATAAGATGATATTGCACTGTTAAAATATTCTCGTTTGTTTTCATATAATCTTACAACACACAATAATGCCTGCGCTCTTCACAAATAAACACACTCATAATTTTGCCACATACATTCTCATGTGAAATATATATGACTTCATATATGACTTCATATTGATATGCATATGTGTGTGTTGCGTGTGATCATTTGCTCGTTATACGAATGGTACGCAGTATAGAGGCCTGCCGTTAAATAAGCGCATTCGTCGTCATGAGCAAGAAACAATAAATAGATAGATAGATAGGTAGGTGCAACTCGTCGCCAACAAATCACTGAGAATTTTGATGTGATGATTTTATAAAATCTACGTTAAAAAAAATTGAAAATATCTCTCTGAGGAATTTGACATTGGAATGATTAAAAGTTTTTGCTGGATTCATTGATTTTATTTTGTAGAAATTTAATTTTCTGAGAATTTGATCCAGAGAAAAATTTGCTAGTAAGTTTTTTTGTTAGTTGCCAGCTAATTTTAAAAAGCGTAAAAGATAAAAATTAATTTTTATTAAGGAAATTTATTTAGTTGATGAAAACAATATAAATTTTTGAAGTAAAAGAAAATAAAAAACTTGAAAGGTTTGTATGTTTGTGTATGTGTGATGTGTGCATGTGTTCATGTATGTGTGGGTATGTTGATATATAATGTGTGTGTGTGAGTGTGTGTGTGTGTGAATTTGTGTACGCGTACATCTATAAAGTGAACATTGCATGCTAGCACACATACACACACACACGCACAGACACACACCAAGTACAAAATGTCAACGGGTCTAAAACGACATTTCGACTTTTTTCTGTAATATCCATGCAGAAAAGCTGTTAAATATGTATGCAGTAATCATCCATTGTGTTGCTCGCTGTATGTATGTATGTATGTATGTATGTATGTATGTGTGTGTGTGTGTGTGTGTGTGTGTGTGTGCGTGCGTGCGTGCGTGCGTGTGTGTATGCGTGCGTGCGTGCGTGTATGCGTGCGTGCGTGCGTGCGTGCGTGTGTGTGTGTGTGTGTATGTGTATGTATGTATGTATGTATGTATGTATGTATGTATACTTACATTTATTTGAGAGTATAATATTAACTATGTATCTAAACTGAACTGTACGTATGTATCTAAACTAAAAATGTGTAATGTATGCATGCAATATATGAGAGCATTTATTCTTGTTAGCATTAGCTTATTTGTTAACAGTGTACATTACATCAATAGCTAATCTTTGAGAAAAATAGATGACTAAAATGAGACTAAAATAAAAAAATAAATGTTTTTGGCCTCTGAAATTGATTGATCGATGTAATTATTTGATTAACAAGCTACCACCATCCACATCCATTCATCGTCCGACTGGCAGATGTCTCAACTAGCGAACGGGAAAGCCTCGCCATCGTCAGGCGCGCCGAAGGACGCGGCCGATCAGAACTTCGACTACATGTTCAAACTACTCATCATCGGCAACAGCAGCGTCGGCAAGACGTCTTTCCTCTTCCGCTACTGCGACAATTCCTTCACGTCTGCGTTCGTCAGCACCGTCGGCATCGACTTCAAAGTGAAGACAGTCTTCAGGAATGACAAGAGGGTCAAACTGCAGATCTGGGTCGGTGGGTCGCCTCAATTTTTCTTCATGTTTAGTTTCAAATGGTTCTGTGTCTGTCTACGTATCAGATCAACCTTGCCTGCTTGCTTAGAATATTTTTGATGTTGTATGTAATTTGTTGCCTCTATAAAGTTACAATGTTCTTCGCAGTTTCTGCTTTTAATATAGGCGGCAGACAGGCGCATAAACCCATTCACACAAGTTACGCACATAACATCTCACAAAAGTCACACACATAGAAACATCTACACACACGCACGCACGCACGCACGCACACACGCACGCACACACGCACACAAAGCACAGCTGTCATGCTGCATGTGGAAACATTTCCACGAATTTTCATCTCGAAGGTATTAACGTTTCTACAGGCAGAAAGGATCCCACGCATGCCTTCGCTTCACTTCACTCACTGGTCACACACACGCACACACACACACACACACACACGCACACACACACACACGCTCACACACACAGCTATAAATCTTGTATAAGTTGCATGTCATTTATATCCTGTTCTTCTAGGCCTTTAACGACAATTCATCTACTCTAATTTCTCCTTCTTCGTCAACTTTTTCTTTCTTTCTCTCCTTCTATTTTTAACTCTCTATTTTTTATTATTTTTATTCTTCTGATCATTTTCATCCTGATTTTATCGAGTTTCACTTTCAACCTTTTGGAAGCAATTAATTTGAATTTCATTTTCACATATCCAAAATTAATTTATTTTTGATGGTGTTTGAGAAAGAAACTTAAAACGGATGGAAAATAAATCTTCAAAAGTATTTTGTGGAAAGATGAATGAATGAAATGAATGAATGAACGAACAAACAAACAAACGTACGAACGAACGAACGAATGAAGGAATGAATGAATGAACGAATGAATGAAAAGCATTTGAAACGAGTGAACAAACGAACGAATGAATGAACAATAAAGTGAATACTTTTTATCGATTATTCCTCCTATAAATAATGACAACAAACAACGTACAATCGTCGTGTGCGTGTGCTTGTTTTTTGTTGTTTTTGTGTAGACAATTTGTGTATGTGTATGTGTGTTTGTGTGTGCTTATGTATGTGTGTGTTTGTGTGTGTGTGTGTGTGCGTGTATGTGTATGTGTATGCGTGTGCGACGAACACCCATCTTGTTTGATATTCTAACTGAGTTAATTATTGGTACTAGTATTTTAGTATTTACAACAACCGCAGAGAACTGAATGCTGGCAGCCAATTCATACCTACTATGGTATAAGTTAATAAGTTGATAATAATAGTTTTATTATTAATAATAATGTTAATGATAATAATAATAATAATAATGATAAGAATAATAACAATAAGGATAATAATAGAAGTAATCAATCGTAATAAAATTGGTGGAACTAAACAAACAAACAAAAGAATGGAGTGAGTGAATAAATGAATGAATGAATGAATAAATGAACGAACGAATGAATGAATGAATGAACGAACAAACGAACGAACGAATGAATGAATAAACGAATACCATAAACCACGCAAATAATCAGAGCCATGGAGTAACAAACAATACATATACATTAGTGTATTATTATCATTCAAAAATATATCACCATTATAACAATGTACGTTTTAGACGGTGTAGTGATGATGATAATAATGATGATAATAATAATAATAAGAAGAAGAAGAAAAGGAAGGATAATAATAAGAATAATAATAAAAATGATTATGATGATGATGTTGTGTTGACACTGATGATGATGGCGTTGAAAGAAGAAGTTATAATGGTAATAATATCGTTAACGAATACATATTGAATGCATGGCCACATAGGATTACATTGAATTAACCCGTTTGTTGTTATTATTACTATTGTTAAATATTTAATAATAATATTATTATTATTATTAATTATTACTATAATTATTATTATCATTAGCAATAAATAATGGACTGAATAGAAAAGACAAAAATAATAGATAACTGAAAGAATGACTGAGCAAATTAATGAATGGATGGATGAGTTAATAAATAAATGAATGAATAAAATATATAATGAACGATTGAACGAATGAATGAATAAATAATGAATGAATGAATGGATGAAATGGCAGTATATCTTTGTTTCATTCAAATTATTTATGGATAGGTAGATGGATGGATGGATTGATGAACGAATGGATAGATGGATGGATGCATAGATGGATAGATAGATGAATGAATGAATGAGTGAGTGAGTGAGTGAGTGAGTGAGTGAGTGAGTGAATGAATGAATGAATGATTGAATTAAGTAGAGAGGATTGAGATCAGCAGAAAATGACTTTTAGAAATCTCGCAAAATAACCTTTGATATTTAACAATTTCAGGCATTTTAATATAGCTCAATTTATTACTGATTGTCCCGACTGTGGTGTGTTTGCGGTGCATCCGCCTATGGGAATGTCGCACTGTTTTATTACTCATCCTATATAATACGAGCAGCTTTTTTATAATGAATATAATATATATATGAATATAAATATGACTATAAATAAATAAATAAATTAAATAAATATGTAAATATGGATATAACATATATGAACATAACCCATAGAATGAATGGAAGTATTGTTGATGTTCAGGAAATGAGTAGTACAAATATGATGTGCGGCGGGTACAGGTTCATGAACTTGTTTCATATTTTTCGTTTTTTTTTCGTTGCCACCGATCAACTTTCTGACAGAATTAACCAAATTTGTCATAATGAAATCTTTTTAGTGATGATTTTCTTGTTTGTGACATGCGAATTTTAACAGGCAATTATTGAATATATATTACACACGCACACCAATCACACCAATCACAACCTCTATATGTACTTTCTGTAATTAAAAGGTAGGGTTTGTTTATATATTCTTATTTCCCCCCTCATCCCATTTTTTTTATTTTATTTATTTTATTTTCTCAATAAAACCAGAATGTGCAATTTAGGAAAGGACTGTTGACTTTCTGGCAACGAGCATGAGTTTTCGCATAATTTTTTTTATCTTTTCGTCAATTTTCACAAATAAAACTTATAAAAAAAAGAAAAAATTGAATGGAAATATCGGATAAACATAAAAACTCCATCTATAATTATTATTCACAGGAGAAATTACGTAGTTTGCGTACAATATTTCCAAATAAATTTTTCTACTTTCCCTTCAAATTTGCCTCGTGTGTTTTGTATTAAAAATGGTTTGATTGTGCACCGAGAGTTTTGAACATTTTAATTTTCAAATTTGTAATCAGCCTCGTGTTTATTTTGCAGTGCAAGTGAGCTCGCTTTAGTCGAGATCAAATTATACCACAAACATTCAAAGCCATTAAATTTCTATACAAGAATGTACTGGAAAATCTGTTGTTCTTGTTGTTGCTGTTGTTATTGTTGTTGCTGCTGCTGTTGTTGTTGTTGTTGTTAGTTTTGAGAAGCTAACAAGCAGTAGAGTTTTTCTTGCCAACATTACATTCGCAATAGAAGCCACACATATCACACCACAACCACTACAGTTATTCTGAAACCACAACCACAATTAAAATGGCCATCAATTAATCAAAATAACCAATACT